GGCTGGTCAGACTCCCAGCAGCCCGGGGTCTTCAGCCCGACACACTGCGCTGCTAGGTGACGTGGGATGTCATCCACGCTCCAGAATTTTACCCAGCAAGAAAGAAACAGTGCGTGGTTTCACCTTTCAACACTGTGATGCCACACCTGCAGCCCAGCACCACATTCCGCTGGCCCCAGCCCAGATCTGGCCACTAGTGGGAGGAGGGTGGGAATGGGGTCTCCTTGAAAGGTGACAAAAATGTTCTAATTGGACCCTGGTGACCCTGCACAGCTGTGAGCACAGGAGAACCGAAACTGCAGCATGCTATATGTGTGATGTGTGGTGTATGACACCTGTAGGCTCTGTCTCCGTGTAGCTGTGACACGTGACACGTATGAACGACATTACCCATTGAAAATGGGGAACCACCTGATGGGGGGTGCCGAGTCAAAGGGGCAAATCCAGCGCTACCCTGACGGACACCCCTGGGACCGGCCACCCAGTGGCAAGGACCTGGACAGAGGGGACACATGGGGCAGAGCAGAACCCAGACATCGCCATGGAAATGGATTCAGCATAGGCCATGGGCCAAAACCTAAGATCAAGGCACAGTCTGGGAGAGGAAGGCGCACAGGGCTTCAGACCTGGCCGAGAGAGCCCGGCAATGACACAAAACACCTACTGACTGCTCTCTGTCCAGATCTAAGACCTCTGGCCTTTGAAAGACACCACCAAGATCACACAAACCAGGTCATTCCATTAGGGACTTGTTTACAAATTAGCAAACTCAAACCCTTTCAAAAGAAACAAAAACCGGGCAAGAATATCTAAAGAGTCGGGCATGGTGGTACACGTCTATAATCCCAGCACTTGGGACACTGAGGCAGGAGGATCGCCACAAGCTCAGTCCAAGGCTGGCCTGGACTACACAGCGAGACCCCCGTCTCAAAAAACAAAAAGGATATTTGAAGAAAGCGTCACATTAGTTACTAACACAGGAAAAGACCATTCACAGATGAGCGCCAGGAAACAAAGCAGAAATCTAAGGCGGAACTGCACCTCCTGCACCACAGAGGAGCGGATGGAGTCGGCAGCAGTGACCACAGCGTGGCCAGGACGCCCAACGGCAGGCAGAGTCGGTCCACCTCTGTGCAGACGCATAGTAGACAGAAGTGAAAGGTGCCAGTGGACAGGGCCACTCCAGTGCCGGCACCAAGGCAGAGACCCAACCCACGGTGACCTGCCAGGAAACAGCCAGGGTCTGACACTGCATCTGTCATGGTGTGGTCCATCCACACCCAGGAGAATGCACAGCGTGGCCGGGAAGGACACCGCCCGTGGACGAACCCGGATCACAGAAGTGGCAGCAGACGGACTCCACGCGAAATGGCCCCAGTCGCCACGATGCTACCGTGAGTGGCTGGAGGCGGGCCTGAGGACAAGGCAGGGACACCTAGGCAGTACCAGGCTTGTCCCTACTGCAGCGCCCATCCTGACTGCTTCTAGCTTCCTGGCCTGCGCCTCCCATGGTGCTGGGGGGCTGCAGATGGCACCTGGCAAGAGGGGGCTGAGGTAGGCGAGGCTGGTGCACAGTGGGCACCCCTACCACGGTGCTGGAGAAGCCCCACTCTGAACACACACCTTACAGTCCACACCCAGGGCTGGTGACCTGCAGGCAAGGAAATGTCCCCGGGGTAACAGTGCCACAGGTCATCAGATCTCAACACAACCCTGGGCAGAGGGAGTTGGGTGCATGGGAGATGCATGGGAGCTGGGGAGGGGCAGGACCTGCAGGCCAGCCCAGGGCCACCCCGAGGGGCCATGGCCAGGGTCTGAGGGACCCTCGGGGCAGCTACGCAGTGCTGTGAAACAGGCAAGTAACCGCCACCTCCTCCAGCCAGCTGGCTGTGATGCAGGGTGTGGCCAGGCAGAAGGGGGAGCCACCACCCTGCAGTTTCACCCACCTGGGCTTGGGGCTCTTTGTGGGCCCCAGGTGTGGACGGTGGTAGCAAGGAAGGGACTGCATCCCCAGCTCCCCAAGCCCAGCTCCCTTCCCCCTCTCAGGGAAACCTGACAGTAGCCTGAGCTCTGAGTGCAGTCAGGAGTGGCCTCCAACCCGTGACCCGCCCACTGGTCAGTCAGGGGACCCTCCTGGACCCAGCTGCTCTATGCCAGGAGCGTGGGGAGCTGCCAGCAAGACCATTCCAAATAGAACCCTGCTGGCCACACAGCAGGGACAGCTCTTGTGTGGGAAGGGGCCACACCCAGGTGACCGCACAGGTGTCACCAGAAAGGACAGGCCGGGGAAGCACTGGCCGCTGTCTCCCTCTGGAATTCTGGGGCCACACAGTCTCAGCTCAGGGAGCAGAGCCAGGACATCAGGCACTGCGAGCTGGGACTGCTCTGCACACTGTCGGTCCAGCATTCGTGCACTGCACAGCAGGATGAGGCCACACACAGACCCTGAGTGGTCCTAACTTCCCCTAAGTCATAGCCAGTTCCAAGCTGGACACTGAGCTTGCAGGACAGCTGGAGGGAGACGTGCAAGGGGCAGAGGCAGAACTAGGATTGAAAGCCCCAAGCACAGGTGTGGGAAGGTGTCCAGGTGTGGCTGGCAGGGACGTGGACGTCCAGGCCCTGGAGACCCAGACCCAATGCTGCCGTTTCTGGAGGGAGCCAGCACTGGCCACACTGCCTCACCAGGGAAAAGCAGAGAAGGACGTCTGCGACCTCACTGCCCCTGTCTGGCGCCAGCCCCTGCAGCTGAGCACTGTCCCTGACTGGGGTGTCAGAGGGGCTACAGAGGTCCAACATCCATCTCAGGATGCCATGTCCTGATGGGTGTGTGATACATGTGTGCAATGTGTATTCACACGATGGTTGACCCCCAGGAAGAGCTCACTGGCAGCAGCCCGGAAGCTCTGGGCACCTTGGTGTCTGATGCCCATGATGCAACCCCAGCTATCTGTTCCTGAGATGCCCCCATCCTGTGCCCTGTGTGGGTGGGGACAGTGGAGGCCTCAGCAGAGGCACCAGGGTGACCCCCAGGGAGCCTCCTCACTCCAGTGGCAACACTGCCTCGGCCTCAGAGTCCTCTGGGGGAGAATAGGGCGAATCAAGGCACTAGCAGCACCAAGGTGAGATGAGAGCTAAGGAGGCAGAAAAGGAGATGCAAAGGCCTCGTGAGGCGGGCCAAGGCTATCGCCTTCACCTGCACACAGTGGGGCCTCTTGATGCCCTGGACACACCATCCACGGCACCCAGCAAGCACAGCTGCCTCGGATCACCACACCCAGGGTACCATGGGTGCTGGACGTAGACGCTAGGCCCTGCTGGCCAACGTCTCGGCTTACAGGTAGAAAATCGAGGCTGAAGGAGCAGGTACTACTCACAAGGGCCCCTGGGAGCTCCCCAGATCAGAGCTCAGAGACAGACAGGGGAGCCAGGGTACAGGAGCCAGCCTGGGGGCCAGGGCCGAGGACACGCTCTGCCCTGCTGGGCCTCCCCTTCCCCCAGCATACTCAGAGATGCCAGCGACGTCACTGCCAATAACCCAGATCTGAACCAAGAAATCTCACACCCTGCTCTGCCCCACTTACAGCTTGGTGACAAGAAGGGCTGGGGTGAGAGGAGTCGCCGGCCGGCACTGAATGTGTGGGGCAGAGCCAGGCCTCCAGATCTCTAATACCCACCTCGCATGCACATGGGTGAGGCTATGCCACCCACTCCTCTGGAAACCCACAGAGGCGCCCGGCAGGAATCCAGCTGACCAGAAACTGAGAACACGGGCATTGTGTGGAACCCCGACCTCTCACTCCGGCAGTGTCCACCATGCCCTGGGACAGGGCTGATCCAGAATATGACTGTCCGGTCCCCAGCCCAGACCCGACTCTGCAGGCACCCACCCATCCACAGCTACCACGGAGCTACCACGGAGGTCCTTAGGGATCCCAGGACACCCAGCGGCCAAGATCTGTAGCCCATAGAACCCCGAGCGCTGTGGTCTCAGGAGGAAGCTCTCGGCCTTCCTCTTCCTCCTGGGGTCCACAGGACCTGAGTGTGTGTCCACCATATCCAGGCCATCTCAGGAAGATGCCAGCCCCAACCCCGGCATAGGAAGAAAACAGCTCAGCCCAGCCTGAGGGCCACAGCCTCCCGTGCCACAGAATCCAAGCAACACCCAACATCCCCTTAAATCCTGCGGTAAAGCAGCCCAGGGGCATGGAGCAGGGCTGGTAGCTTCTCCACAGGCTCTAAGCGGCATAGGGTAGCCAGGGAGAAGCCTAGACCCTGCCACTCAGCCGTGGCCAATGCTCTAGAGGTGCCCATCAGTGCCAAGGCCCAGGCTGCGTGGGAGCTCCTACTGCCTCAGGTGGGGTGGGGCATCCCAGGAGGGTATGCGGACACATAGGGGCATGCCACACTGCACCTTTGTGTCCTCCAGAACAGTGCAGCCAGGGAGCTACTAGCAAGCAGAGTGAACCTAACAGTCTCCAGGGCAGCGTGCGACAGCCAGCACCTCAAACTAGGGCACCTTGGGCTTCTCGGTTCCGAAGGGGCACAGCCTCCTCAGCAAAGCAGAACCAGGGGCGCCCTCAGTGCCCAGCACCATCTGCCTGCCTGTCAGTGCCAGGCCCAGGGAGGCGGGCGCAGGGGAGTCTTGGCCCCAGGAAGATACCCAAGTTAGGACCTGGAGGGGACCAGGAATCTGAGGCTGAAGGTGGAGAGAGAGGCGGGAGATGCAGGGTCCTGAGCAACTCACACAGGGACACTCTGGCCTCAAGCAGCCAGTGGCTAGTCTGCAAACCTGACGACCACTGAGATGTCAGACAGGGTTCCCTGGCACGAGTGCCTGCAGCTGACAGAAGCCGGTCAGCCTCTCACACACACACACACACACACACACACACACACACACACACAAACACACAGCGTCCTGGCTCCTCCATGGTGGGACTCCTCCTGCCCGCCCTGGGGACGCCCTGCCCGCCATGCCCACCGTGGCCGGTGCATTGTACCTGCATAGTTGCCCATGGCCTTGATGTACATCTGGCCGTACTGCTCCTCCACCATGGTGTCGTAGGCCTCGTCGTCCTCCTCATCCTCCTCGTTGTGGTAGGATGTGGGGCTGTCGGTGGCAGGCAGGCTGCTGGCCCCTGGACTGGTCCGCTCCCCTTGGGAGTAGGGCACCTGCTGGATGCTGGGGATGAGGGTGGCCAGGTTGGGCACCCCATAGTAGGAGACACGGGGCAGCTTGAGCGGGGCTGCATTGGCAGCCACCGTGGCCCCCGAAGCCATGGCCATGCCGTCCCGGGGTCCCATCTCCAGTGGGCGCTTGGGGGCCAGCCCTGGGCCGGCGGCTGGCGGCAGCTCCATAGCTTCATGCTTCACACGGGTCAGCAGCGGGATGGGCACAGAAGGGGACACGACGTAGGGCGCGGTGGCGGCGGCAGCCGGCTGCAGCTGGTTGCAGGGGCTCTGGGGCTCGGAGCTGGCATCCTCCATGACGGCCGTCTGGGAGTCGCAGTGGGGCGAGCTCACCTTGAACATGAGGTCAGTGCCGCGCTCCACGATGTGCTGGATCTGCAGGAAGCCGGCCGTGTACATGACAACGAGCTGCTCACTGGCCGCCATGGTGAGCTTGCCCGTGTAGCAGAAGGACAGGATCTGCTGGAAGCAGGCAGGCGGCACAGTGCCCGGCAACTCGAACGCACTCTTGCTGTTGCCGCTGAACAGGTCACGGAAGTACAGGCTGCTGGCGGCCAGCACGGCCCGGTGCGCCTTGAAGGCCTGGCCCTTGACCACGATGGACACATCGCAATAGAGGCCCAGCAGCCGCTGCTCGTTCAGGCAGCCCAGCACGGTGTTCCCGAAGTTGGGGATCTCAATGTGCAGCATCTGAGACATGGCGGGCAGCGAGGCAGGCGGGCTAGACGCGGCGCGGGGCAGCCCAAGCGGGGCACATCTGCGAGGGAACAGAGTGGTCAGTCCCAGCCCACGCTCACCCACCTCAGGCCCAAGCCGCCCCCAACCCCTGCAAAGGGCAGAGAAGATATATTCTCCTCCTGCAATGGGGTCCCACATCAGACTCGGACTGGGGGGCCAGCTGGAGGCTCACTTGCCATCTGGCAGACCCCGGCTCTGCAGAAGGCACAAGACAGAGGCCTGGACATGCAGGGTCACAGGGAGGAAACAGGAGGGCAGCTCAAGTGACCTGGGGAGGGGCCAGGGCTGCAGCCAGCAGAGTTGCAGCAACTCCTCTCCAATGGAAAAGAGAAAAAGTTCAAGGCTGTCGAGGAGCCTCTGCTGCAGGGCCATCAGGGGCCATCCCGGTCCTCTGGAGGGGTTGCACTTCCAGTTTGCCTCCCCTCATCCTCCTGAGCCGCCTGACTCGGGACCTGGGGGGCTGCCCCTCCCTGCCTCTATTCCCTGCCCAGGGAGGGGCTGGGGCCAAGAGAGGCAGAGGTTGCAGGGACCCGTGGCCAACCCTTCACTCCTTTACCATGGCAGAGAGGCTCCGGGTGTGCAGTGCCCCCCAGGCTGGCCACTCCTGTTCCCAGCAGGAGCGACCCCAACCCAAGTCCCCAGCAAGCAGCCGGCAGGGAGCAGCGCTGGGCAGCTGGAGTTGGAGCCTGCTGCAGCCCGGTGCAGGGGCGTCTGCCCTCCCTCCCTGCCAACCTCCCACCGACCCGTCCCAGCCCAGGTAACCGAGGGGTCTCAGAGGGCGCCCCATGCACCCGGAGGTGGGGCGGGCAGCCACTGTTTATCAGGCGACAGTGTGAAGAAGAGGGCGGGGGCTGGCCAGAGAAGGCGCTAGCCCAACTCTGCAGGGGCCGCACAAAGGGCCGCTGTGTCCCGCAGGAGGAAAGTGTGGGTGGCCGCAGAGGCGCCGGCAGCCCAGGGGAGGAGGGCGGAGCCACCCGTGCGGGAGCCGGGCAGGTGGGCACCATGCTGAGGAGGCCCGCAGTGCCCATGCTGCGGACAAGTTGCTTGCCTGACCAGGGTAGGGAGGGGGGAGGCATGAAGGAGGACCTACCTTTAGCCGCTGCAGCCGCTCAGCCTGGCCGGCAGGCTCCCCACACGCCCGCCCGCCTGCCCGCCAGCCGTTCCCGGAATGCAGCAATGGAGCCGGAGCCCTGGGGCGGGGAGGGCGCGGGAGCTGGGGGGAGCTGGGTGCCCAGCTCGCGGCCGCAGCTCAGCTGCACCCAGGCCGGCGCTCCCGGGCAGCGCGCAGCATCTCAATGAGGCGGCCGGATGCGGACGAACACTCGGGCAGCTCCGGGAATGAATAGCTGCCTTTGATTCGGGAGCTGAAGTAAATGCCAGCTCCCAGCCCCGGCTTTAAAAACAGTGGCGCGTTGGTGCCAGAGGAATGCGCGGCCCCGGGTGTTGGTGCAAGACAGACTTTCGATGACTCATACAATGCAAACAAAGATGGCAGAAACACTGTACTGTACGCGGGGACGCTTGGCAGTGCCTCGGCAACTCCGCAGCCTGGAAATTTATAGTGCAGTTTTGCATATGAATTACCCAGTAAACTGTCTCCCGCCACCCAGTGCAGCCCGGTGTCAAAGCATTTAAACTATTCCAAACAGTCTGCAGGGCTGGCGGCTGCGCAGCCTCAACTCTTCCGGGGCTGCGGGAGGCTGGGCAAGGGGGCTGCATGGAGGGGGCACAGCTCGGTGAGAAAGGGGAGCAGCCACACCAGGGAGGGCGGAGGGGGGCAGGAAGGGGAGCACGTGTCCCCTGTCCATCACAGTCACAGTGGGGACAGCAGGCCGGCCGGTCCCGCCTCATGCCCCCATGCCCACCTGGCTCTGGGAGAAATGATCGCCCTGGCCCACATTCCTGGTCCCCAAGAGGAGGTGGACACCTGTATGCCCTGTGTCCTCAGGAACATCTGGCCGCCTTGGCCATTGGCTCTGTGTTGAAACTCTGCAGGGCCCACGCCCAGGGCCCCTGGTGCCCTTCTGGAGGGAGGGGATGGCCAGCAGTGCTGGGTCACATGGCCTGGGCTGCCTCAGTTTCCCTGTCTGACCACCAGATGTGACCCCTCAAAAGGAACACATTCCAGTCTGACATGTGACACTGTGGGCTCAAGGCTGGCAGGACGGGTAGCATGTCGGCCCTCACTCTAGTCCCTCCAGCCACTCAGGGCCCCATTTGCACCACAGGCTCTGCTCCAAGCCAGACATGGCTGAGCACGAGGCCCTCGGTGCTTTCTCTGCCTTCCAAGGCTGGGACACATGGATGACGTACGGGGACTGGAACAGGTGTGCGTGGAGTCGCCCGTACTCCACTGCTCGATGGAGACTTTGGGCTCAGCCAGCCAAGACCTCCCTGGAGCAGACCTTCCACTCCAGGTCCCTCTCAGCGCCAAGGCCAGGGCTCACCAGGGCAGGGCGGCCAACTAACTCTTGCTGGGGATGGTTGGGGGCTCAGTGCTGCCCAGTGATACCGTACAAGGACCCCCAAAGTCTGTAGACCATTTCACCCACCAGCAGGGCCTCCCAGGAGCCTCTGGCCTCTGCAGGGGGGTGGTAGGGACCCCAGGCCAAGGCCGTGACATGAGGTCCTTTGTACCAGAGCGGGGGGGGGGCTCCTCTGTGTGCAAGGGACCAGCTTATGCCCAGTGGATGCAGACACAGCCAGAGTTGGGGTGGGCCTGGGTCAGCCACTGGGCACACAATGGCCACAGGGCAGTGCTGGCTGGACCTACCGTGACCAGACAGGCAGATCTATGCTCACACCTCAGGGACCTGTGCCCCACGGTCCCGGCTTCCCCAGAGAATGGACCATTGTCCCCAGGAGATGACCAGGCTGCCCGGCTCCCCAGGGACCTAGGATAACTGGCGCTTCTGCAGCGCTGTCCCCAGGCCACCTGTGCTGGCAAGGATGCTGCCCGCGCCCGGCCACTGAGGACCGGACAGGAGCTGGTTTCAGGTTGCTTTCTTAGAAGCCTTGGTGGGGCAAGAACAAAGCTGAACTTTACAGAAAAGAATCAAGCAGGCTTGGCTGGGCTGCCCAGGCTGGGAAAGCAGGGCCCTTGGGACTGGTCCTGGTGCTGCAGCCGCCAGGTGGGGTCTGCGGCTCTGAGGTCCCTCACTGCTCCCTGCATGTGGCATTCACCACACTCCATGTGTGACCAGCACTCTCCTGTGACCCAGTTTCCCCTCCTCCTTGAGTCCCAAGCAAGGCCCTGTACTGGTTCCTCTCCACAATGAGACTCAGGCTTTGGGGAGTTTCAGAGGGAGTCTGAGACCTCAGTTTACCCCAGTTGTCTCGACAGCCACTGTACCGAGGACCCACCCGCTCCCAGTGCCCTTCAGAATGGAACCCACTTTGGGAAACCCATGAAAATAATCCAAATCCTTGAAAGTCCAGAGTCCATGGCAGCCAGCTTTGGGGTTCCCTCACCCCATAGGCACACACACAAAGGAAAAACTGGGTGACAGGAGGGTGGGGTCTCTGCATATAATTCCCAGGGAAAGCTGGGGTCTGAAGGGCCTGTGTGTGAGGGGGGCCAGGCCAGGAGTGGGGTCCCCCACACTGCAGAGCTAGGGCAGTGCCCACAACAGGGATACCCTACAGAGCTGTCCATAGGCAGGGTTCGAACAAGGACACAGATGCCCAGGCCTGGCTGCATGAGGCCCACAGACACCCACCTGCTGATCCCAGAGCCACCCCGGTACCCTGCTCTCCACGCCACCATGAAACTGAAGGGGCTCCTTCCACGGAATGCTGCCAGTGGGGAGAGGAAGGCGAGATCAATGAAATTAAATAAAATTACTTTGCAGGATTTAATTTCACCCACCTAATAAGAGGGTCTGGACCTCAGCAAGCGCAGCAGCACAGCCAGGAAGGCAGGCAGGGGGCTGCCTGGGTACCAGAAAAGTTTTACAGGGAGGGGGAGCCCCTCAGGCCCCAGGGCTCTGCCCCTGGGGAGGAAAACAGCCTGGAGTGCAAGGGACACTCCAGGTTCAAGGTGGCACCACCCGGGCTCGTCATCGAGTCAGAAGCTGCATCCAGCTCGCATCACAGCAGCAACCCCAGACAGGGGGAAAGCACAAGGATGGCAGTGCCCAAGCTGACCCCAGCTGTGGCCGGGTGTGCCCTGGTCCCCAGGAACTGGGCAGTGCAAGGTTAGGCCCCAGGGTTTGCACTGAACTTTGAAGCCACCCTGGGCTTCACTGCTAATGTGGGCCTGAGTACCACCTGCAGCCTCCCCCGGCGCATTGTACTGACCCCAGGTTCTCCAGCATCACATCACGAGACCCAAAGGGAGTACCTGCGCAGCCCATGTCTCCACCTGGGGCACCCAGCAGGGCCCTGGTCACAGACTCCTCAGTCCCCCACTAGATGTAGGGAAGCGGCCTGACCCATGGGGTGGGGGTCTCCACACTGCTGCCACAGCCCCACTGGGAGCAGGAGGACGGCCTGGCAGAGGTTCCCATCCTGCTGGGCCCAGCGGCCCCACTCGACGCAAGCCTGGACAGCAGCAGCCACAAAGCCGGTTTTAGCTACACCAACAAACGTTTGCCTGGATGCTCATGCGCTCGGGTTTTCTTTTCTTTTTTCTTTTTTTTTCTCTCCCCAGAAGGAGAGGGCATCGTGCCAGAATCTGCGAACTCAGAATTCTGCTTATCAGTCTCCCCCCTCCCAGGTTCCCAGAGAGAACACAGGTGGGGGAGGGGTACAAGCACACAGCATGGGTGGATGTCAGGGTCCCCCACTCAGCAACACTTGGCACCCAGGGTGCTCCTTGCAGTGAGGGCCACCCCACACCGGCTCCCAGGGAACCATCCCAGCAGGTGGCACCTGCAGGCATGGCACGAGCTGCCCCCATGACAGGCCGAACCCCTTGTCACACCTATGGCTCTGAGTGGGTCCACCAGCCCCCACCCCGCCCTACCCACCAAGCTCTGGAAAGGCTCTGCAGGCCCCAAAGGCCTCAGTGAGGTTAGAGCAGAGCGGCTTCTCCCTCCTCACCAGTATTTGTAATTTAAATAACAGGAGCTTGAAGAGTGTCTCCCTCGGGCACCACTTAATAACTCAAAAAGCCAGCGCCAGCCCCGCCTGCTGCACCAAGGCCCCTCCACCCGCCTTGGTCAGGTGGGGTCTCCCTGCTCCAGCCTGGACATCAGACACCACCACCGGGACACCGGACAGCAGCTTGTGAAAGGGCTAGGACCGGGTGGGCAGCTGACCAGGCGGCCTGCCTTCTATGGGCCCAGAGCTGCTGGGGCCTCAGCACGGGGGCCTGTGGGATAGCGGCCGCACAGCATGGCAGGAGGCAGGGGGGTGGTGTCCAGCACGTGCTGGGCCGTGGGTCGACTGGCTCTTGGCAGACAGCACTTCCCAGCACACCCATCTTTAATATTCACAGCGCTCCTCATCTGCATACCATGCCATAAATAGTCAGAGGCGAGGTAAGACACAAAGATCCCCTGCATTCCTAATTATGCTTAAAAACCTAATGTAAATCAGAGCGACACAGAAGTACCAAATCAGCGGCAGGTGGGGGCGACAGGGCAAGAAGAGGCCGCGTGCAGGGGTTACCCCCACCTCAGGCCCCGCCTCCGTGCCCTTGGTGAGGTGGCCAAGGGGACCCCAGCCTGTGATCTTGGACCCAACCCAGCTATGTGCTCCTGAGTGGGAGCCCATGAGGGCAGGGTGGAGCGCACACTGCAGGGCCCGATTCCTGACCCCGGGCAGCCCCAACCCATTCGGTGCCAGGCCCACTGGCTCAGGGGAAACAACAGGGACCTGTGGGCAGTGGCAATCAGGCCCAGGTCCTTGCACCTCAATTTTCAGATCCAGGCTGCTCGAGTGCCAGGACTTGACCACAAACTGCGAGACTCAATTCCCCAACCCCTACCCCACAGCACAGGCCATGGATAGCACTGGATACCTGAGTCAGCTCTGGCTGTGGGGACCACAGGACGGAAGGAACAAGAAGGGGAAGAGGTCAGACAGCACAGCCCAACCTGGGGTCTGCACAGTAGCACATGATACAAGGCCCTGGATGGCACAAAACACACTGCAGGGTGGGAGGTGCCCTGCTGGGGCTCCAGGGACCCCCAGTCCAGCTAACACCCAGAGAGCCCCATGCCAGGGCCAGGTAAGGGCAGCTCTGGCGCAGAGCTCACTCCAGAGCCAGGCCCAGGTGGAGCAGGAATCGAGGACACCCTGGGCCACCCCAGAAGGGGCAGAGACACATGGCTGTTCCAAGGGGCTGCAGTGACCCCCAGGCTGCCCTCCAGACCTCACATCATATGACCAGGAGACATGTGACAGGGGCAGCCTCAGACATAGCCCGGTCCTGAGTTCCCAGGGGAGTCCCCTCACAAATTGCACCCAACCCCGTGCCTGCTTTCCTGGGCACTCAGCAAGCATCCCAGGTCCAATCCTGGCACGGCCAAGACCCAGCCTCACTTCCCGGCCAGGGAGGTGCAGCATCTGCCCTTCTTAGGCCATGGGTAGGCTCTTGAGGCCCTGTCAGAGGCGCTGGCCCTGGTGACCCAGGGGCTGCCCACTTGCCGACAGGGAGGAAGGTGGGGAGACTCCTGCTGCCCGCATCTGCCCTGGCAACACGCCCAGAACTATTTTTAAACCCATTTACTAGAAATCCCACAAATTAAAGGAAATATGGATAATGTAGCAGAATGCTGGGGCCAAATAAATGCTGCACATAATCATTCTGGGGCTCCAGCATGGGCAGCTCAGCCACAGCCCAGCCTCCCGGGCTCTCACGACACCCAGGAATCCGGTGCGAGGGAAGCTGGGATCACAGCGGGTGTCCGGGGTTGTGCATGGCTCTGAACCCACAGGAGTGTCCAAGGTAATCAGGAGCACGAGAAATAACGACCATCAGTGTGGCGTCCACTTTTACAACCTGCCCGGCCTGGTGATTCCAAGGGCACTCAGCAGGGCCCAACAGCTCTCTCTGAAAGCAGGGCTGACCTGCAGCTCAGGCCCTGGCCAAGGCTACACTGGGGCAAGTCCCAGCCCAGGAAGGACGGCCACAGCCCCATTGGCTCAGGCAGGGCTGGCCCAGGCCCTCCTAGCCACCCATGGGTCTCACATCCAGGAGGCAGCTACCACCCCTGCACCCCACACAAACCAGAGTGCCAGTGGGTATTGGGTGCTGACACCAGGAGGCCTTGTGTGGGATCCCCAAGAATCAGACCCAAAGCTGGCTGTGGGGGCACATGCTGGTAATCCCAGGACTCTGGGAGGCTGAGGCAGGAAGATCACAAACTCAAGCCCAGTCCTAGTAACTTAGTGATTTGGCGAGACTTTGTCTCAAATAAAAAATAAACACAGGGCTGGGGCTACAGCCACTAGGTACAAGGGCTTTGTGCTTAAAACTTAATACTACAACGGACAAAACGAGTGGCCCAAAACAAGAGAGCAGAGGGAGTGTCTGTCCTGTCACCAGACACCTTGCCAGGGCTCCATAGTGCAAGGGAGGGCAGAAAGACAGACAGACAAGAGGTCATTCTCAGGCAGAAGGTGTAGAGGGCATGCTAGGTGGGCACTGTGTCCTGGAGGCCCTCAGAGCCCAGCAGTCCTGCCTGTCCTACCAAGCCCCGTGCCACCAGACCCCTGTGGGTCCCTGGCAGCCCCTCAGCCTGCACCCTCCTCTGCGCTCTGGACACCCCACAGCCAGCCAGCCTTGACGCTGGTCCCTCAGGCTGCATATGACCCTGGCCCACATCATAGTGTGAGGACAAGGGTCCCCAGCCCAGGACAGAGCCGAGACAAGGAACAAAACAGGACCCGGCCAGCCACCTCTGTGCCAGGGACCAAGGCCCAGCAGGGCACCTCCAGGCCAGCCTGCTCTCAACCAGGGCCACAGGAGGTCCTAAGCCACCTCCTGGGAGGAGGGAGGGAGGAGGACTGGCTGGGGTGACGGACAGGGAACTGTACCCTAGGCTCAGGCACATCCCAGGTGGCACCAGTGTACCTGACCCAGGCCTGACACAGCAGGGACAGAACAGAGAGGCCCGCTGGCTCGGGACGGGCAGGCAGGACAAGATGGGGTACACGGATCAGTGGAAAGGCACTCAGCTCCCAGGCAGCCCTCAGCTGGCCGTTTACCCAGGTTCTCTCAACCCATCACAGGCACCTCCACCTTTGTCCAACGAAACACGGAGATGTCCTTCATGGGGAAGATCATCCTGAGGGGACATGCTGGCCACCAGACCCTCACCCAGCCTCACTCTTGGGGAAAATCCGCTGTGTCCTGCCTCTACCCCCACACTGGGCACAGCTGCTGGTGCCCATCCTGTCACTCCAAGTTGGGTACACATGCTCAGGTCACCCTTCTGTCTGCAGTGCGGGCCTCATGCACCCCAAACAGTACACCACTAAGCTGCACCCAAGGCATCTTCCCTTCTTCCCCCACCAGATGCAGTCTCCATATGCTGCCAGACGGTTCTGGAACTCCTGAGTACAAGGGATCCTCCTGCCTCAGACTCCCGAAGTGCTGGGACTACGCCTGGGCACCCCATGCTCAGGGCTCCTGTTAACTTTCTAAACAGTCCACTCGGACAGGACACCCACAGGGGTGCAGCTGGCTGAACCCCAGCTCCTTGCTGGTCACAGTCATCAGTAGACTTTGGCTGTCACTGGCCTTCTGTGTCTCTGTTGTCCCCGCCCTAGCCTCTGTGCAGAGGCCAAGGCCGTCTGTCTCTCCACACCTGGCGTGCTCAAGGTCTGGGCTGTGTCCCTCTCCCCTCTTCCATTCAGGCTGGAGTGAGTGGCTGCCAGGCCCCTGTGAGCTAACAACTGTGCCTATACGGTGGCCAGGCTTGTGCAAACCTTGAGGGCGATGTGGGGAGACCCAGTCCTGACCACAGGGGCCACCCACTCCTGCACTGATGGGGCTAGAGAACCCCCATTCCCCTCCCACCTGCACTGGGTCTCCCGCCCCCGAAGGTGGGCTCCTCCCCACAGAGGGGTTTTTGCTCACTTAGACCTCAAAACCCCTTAATGGGCTGCTGGCTGGATGACAGATAAGACAAGGCTTTTAGACTGACTCTGAAATTCCCAGAACAAAGACACACCAGACTTCTGCTCAAACGGCTGGCGTTAGGGCAGGTGGTAACCACCGGCTCCAGCAGCGTTCATATGCATTAACACTCATCCCTGCGCTCTGGAAACACAGTCTAGCTCTGAGCAGCTCATCACAAAGTGAGCCAGGCCCATGTTCTACCCTCCTCACAGTTACACGGAAAGCTAAGGCAGGAGGGTCCTTGGGTGAGCCCAGAATTCGAGGCCAGCCCGAGCAGCACAGTGGTCCTTCTCCAAACAGGACAAAGCACTTGGGCCAAGAAAAGTGCTCTGGGCTCGGCCTCTCCCCTCCTGGAAAGCACAGTCACTCCAATGATATGAGGAGCCCCTGTCCTCCACCCCATCATGGTTCTGTCCCACACTGGCTGGAGGGGCCGGAGGGCATCGGTCAAGGGCAGGAAGAAGAAGCAGACAGCAAGAAGGAAACAGGGTCTGCGAGTCAAGCCAGCCCTACACAGAGACAGCGCCAAGGAGCCCACAAGAGATAGATGGTGGAAACCACCAACCCCAGGACTCAAGACGACACGCAGAAGCCATGTGGGACCAACCAGGGCGGGACAGAGCCAAACCAAGATTCCCGATCTCCGCCCAAAAAGCACCCAGCCCTGGGGTCAAACGCAGCACAGCAGCCACCTGAAATCTAAACCTAGGAAACCTCAGGCTTTTGTGAGATTAAATGAAAGATCCAAACAGATAGAAGTGCACAGTGGCGTCAGGGCTGTCTCCACCCTGGGGTCCCCCCACCTATCCTCCCCAAAGCTTATACGCCTGTACCTGGGGATCTCGGGGTGGCAGGATCTGCAGCTGTGACCCGGAAGCGGGGGTAGTGACTGGATTCTCTCACTGTATCCCAGCTAGGCCTGGGCGAGCAGTGGGAGGCACCACCCAAAGACTGGAGCCTGAGGAGCGTGAAGGTGCAGGGAAGCTGTCCACCCCAAGAACTGCCCCTGCTGCCATGCTGCCCACCCTGAAGCCGGATGACTGAAACCCTTCCTGGAATGGGCGGGTGCCACCGGCACTCCGTCTCAGCACTCTGTCTCAGCAGAGAGAGGGAAACCAAAGGCACATGGCATTCAGGGGCAGGAGCGCCCTAAACACTCCTCACATGGACAACAGACTTGGGGCGGGGCCACCACAACCCCAGCTGGCTTCTCACAGAAAGGGACACTCATGCCCACCCTCAGGCAGGCAGAGACACTGGGCTCTAGGATGGCTCCGCCAACCCCAGAGAGAGCAAAGCTGGAACATCCGGGGCTCCTGATTGCAAAATTACTATTGCTGCCAGGACAGTGGAGTCCAGACGCAAAGACCCGGATCAATGGGCTGCAGTGAGGAGTCTTAAATAAACTCTGTCCACAGTCAGCTGAAGCACAAGACACCTGGGCCATCGCAGGAGGCAAGCATTGTCCTCTCCTGATGCCCACTGGGCCACATGGGCACCCACACAGCACACAATAGCCCCACCACACAGTCTGCCTGGTGGGAATGAAATTATCAAACTGTTACAGGAAAACACAAGATAAACCTCTATGCCAGAGCTAAGCAATGGGTCCTTAGATACCAAAACCCAAAAGCACAAGAAAAAAAGAGCATCATTAGCTATAATCCCAGCACTCAGGAGGCTGAGGCAGGAGGACCATTTCGAGTTAGAGACCAGCTGGGCTACAATGTAAGCTCAAGGCCAGCCTGAACTGCATAGTGAGACCCTGTCTCAAAACAATAAAAACAACTAAAAAAAAATCTAGCAGCTAAACAATAAAAATATAAGCAGTCCAGTTTAAAACTGAGCAAACCATCTAGAGAGACATTCCTCCAAACATGTAATTCAAATGCCCAATGTGCACATGAAAAAATACTATCCTTGGGCACCAGGAAAACTGCAGCTGGCACCAAAATAAGTGGCTGAGGGTGCAGCTGAGCAGTAGAGTACACGCCTCACACGTACCAGGCCCCAGTTCCAGCCCGGACATAGGACGGTGGGAGGCAGGGAGAGGTCCGGGTCAAGCGGGCAGATAAGGACACAGCACTGGTTGAAACGTGAAGCTGGAACTTGGGCTGCCCAGGACAGGTGATTTACAGACATACAGAAGATCGCTGGCCCCCCAGAACCAGAAGTGGGGTTCAGAGGAGCAGAGGGAAGGGTGGCTGCTGCTAGATGGAATTTTCTGTGGAGTGATAGGAATGTTTTCAAATTGATCGTGGTGACAGCTGAGCAGCACCGAATATGCTAACACCCCCGAGCTGTACAGCGCGTGAATTACGACCCTAGGGGCACACTGCATGGTATGCTGTTTCCAAAAGGAAAAAAACACCCGTAAATCAAAAGGAAATTTTCAAAAATTCAAGTGGCCCACAGGAAGGCAGCAAAAATAAAAACCGAAAAGAGAACAAATCAAATTTTAAAAAAAGAAGGCAGGCTTCATCCCAGCCCCATCCCAGGAGTGCAAACGAACAGAGGGGCTAGCCAGTGCAGGCCAGGGCATCCAGCTGCACAGGACTGTGGGCTGTACTGCAGGAGACTGGGTGCAATGGAACCACAATATCCACAGCTCACAAAATCCACGACTCATGCTCCTGCCTGAGAAGCAATGAGAAACAAGTTATGTGAAAAGGCAAAGCGTCAATGGCTAAGACAACCAGAAAGAGAATTAAACAGTGGGCTGGGGCTTAGCGCAGCAGCACAAGTGCCTACCTGACCAGGTCATAAGTTCGATCACTGGTTCAAAAAGAAAAAAAAAAAAAGAAAAGAATCAAACAGGAGTCAGGGTGGGGCAGAACCCAGGGAACCCTGCAGGCTGGGCCAACATCCGCTGACTGACTCTCCCCAAGGCAGCAGCGGCTTCGCAGCAGGTGGCCCCGTGGCAGCTGTCCACCGCAGGTGACACACGGCTGGCCACACACCACAAAGGCAGTCGTTGGAACGGACCAAGATGCTAAATGGAAATCAGGAAAATACTAAGCTGCGGAATTTCCACTGGGGAAAAGCAGCCGTGGACAGGGCACCCAGACCGAGAGTGCCACGACCACACCTACCAGGCTGCGCAGGCTCACCACTGGCTGGCAGCACAGTCACAAGAACAGGGTGGAGCACCCCAGAGCAGGCAGGGGCACCAAGGCCCACCGCAGGCCTGTCCCAGCCATTACACAAGGGTTGCAAGAACATCACAAAGACCCTGTCTGTACCCAGCTTCGGGGAGGCAGATCTACCCCGAGGCTGAGGGGCTGCTCGGGGTGTTAGCCGGGCAGGCACCAGGCCCTGGGTTCTCTGTGAAATGAGAAGGTAAAAGGAATGAACACTTATGCCGGGTGCATGCATGTAAGTGGCTCGTAACTATGAGCACGGCACTCGGAAGGCTGAGGCAGGAGGATCACCAGGAGTTTGAAGTCAGCCTGGGTTACATAGTGAGGTCAAGGCCAGCCTGCATGGCATAGAGAGACCCAGTTCCAAGGTTAAATAAAACCTTTACCCTCTTAGAGCGCACCCCACTCCTTTTTGTGGCTAAATAATATTCCATATAGGGACCTAACCACAATGTGTGTCGAATCATTCACCCTGAGGTACTCAGGGCAACGCATGGATCTACAGTTACATGCAAAACGTCTAAAGAAACCAAAGGTAACTGTGCTGATCTGTGATGTGTCAATTTGAACCTTCCCCTAGTTTAACAGCCAACAGCAAGAGCAGTACCAACCAATGGGCGCTGTTGGAATCTGGAAGGATAGGAGCAGGCCACCGCTCACTACATGTGACCTTCTCTTTGGTAGCCCTGGGGACGAGACCCAGAGTGCGCCAGCCCGTGTATTTATTTTAGATAGGTTCCCACTAAGTCATTCTAGTCTCAAGCTTGGGAGCCTCCTGCCTCAGTCTGCCAGAGTGCTGGGGTCACAGCTGTATACCCCATACCCGGCACATTGCTGTGCTAAAGGTGCTCTTGGCTGTGTTTGAACACCTGCATCTGTGCACCAGCAGGATGCGAACAGCTGGTCTCAGGAGCCCACGTGTGCCTGGGGGGGGGGGGGCAGGGCGGGAAAGCTAGTGTCACACCCCGACCTGCCCCAGGCTCTCACAGCTAAAAACTCCAGTGCTCCTGAAGCAGGTCAGTTTCCTGCAGAGCTGTTTCTACAAGTGGTCCAAGATGGACATGCAGGGAGCTGACTCCAATCCACCACCTGGGCTCACATCACCAACGCACTGGGGGCCTCAAGTGGCACCTGGGACCTGGAAAGTGCACGGCCCACAGCTTGGCCCTCGGGCACCTGCGGCCAGCTCAGTCACAGGCTTCCTCCCGGAAGTGGTGACAGCACAGCTTTAGGCTCCAGGCCTCCGAGCCAGGCGCCCTCAGAGCTGGCTGCCCCACATACACACTCTGAGACTGAGACCGGGGCCAGGCACAGAGGCTCTGGGAAGACATCACTTCCCTTAGACGAGGCAAAATGCTCTGAACAGTGACTTCTTGTGTCTCCATGTGTGGCCAGAGTAGTGGCCAGGGCCTCAATGGGGCAGCTGGCCCATGTGCTGCTGGTCAGCAATACACACACCCACAGCCTGACCCTGAGCCTCCTCACAGTGCACATGGGGCCCGGGCCCCACTGGCACCTGTGCATGAGTGACAAGGACCGGAACCCAGACCACGTGTCCCTGGAGTCAGCACTCACAGGACCAGCAGGGACAGAGGCACTGTGGAAACTCTGAGCGGGTGCGGTCCCTAAGGAGCTGTCCACACCTGCGAGGGTCCCCTCCCTGCCCAGACGGGACCCCAGGGGACAGTGCTCCCAGCCACAGGCAGGACATGGAGACATGGGGACAGTCACAAGCTCTGGCCCCGCAGTCCCAGCACACAGCCCCACACCTGGCCTCCCCGCCTCATCTGGGGACCCCAAGAGCACAGGGGAGCCGCAGGGCACCTTGGGCAGGAGCACCTGTCCCCTGGGGGTGGACCGAATGCTGCAGCCGCCGCACCTCTGTGATTCCCTAACGGTTCCCAAGAGAGCGCTGAAGGTAAATATGTTAATTTGACTTCAATCATGGCTTTTTTTAAAGCACTCACTATATTAGTGTAGGGCACAGAGCCTGAACCGCTCAGGTGTGCGCACCTGCCCGCCGCTGGAGAGATCACAAGCTCCCGCTGAGGCTTCAGGGGTCAACAGGGAGAGATGGCACCAGCCTGGGGCCCCAGCTGGGGGGGGGGGTGCTGATAGGATTCCCACCAGGCCTGCCTGGTACCACAGGCGGGGCTGCAAGCAGCATCTCCAGACCACCAGGTGGGGCCCTCCTCAGAGCACCAAGCTCCAGACCAAGGGCCAGGTGGGCGGATCCTCAGGGCCAAAGCCCCACCCCCTCCAGAGGAGGCCGCCAATGGCCCAGGGACAAGGACCAGAAGCTCAGCCCACTCAGACAGTAAAAAGCAACCTGGCTCTCAGCCAAGCTTGGAAGCCATCCCAGAGGCCACCAAGAGCTGGGACGCCCCCCTCAGCACCCAGCCACTGCCACCCTGCCCTGCCCTGGCTGTCAGTACAGGTGCTAGGTGGGAGCAAGGAGCAGGGTCTAAGGTCCCCCACCCCCATTCTGCACAGGGGACAGAATCCTGCACAGGTTACCGGAATCCGAGGCTCAGAGGATGTGAGAGCGGCTGAGAGTCACCCAGAGAGAGCCATGCAGGCTGGGCCCACCCTCCTGCCCATCCCGCTCCTCACCCTACAGAGATGGGCTGCTCCCTTCAGTGGGCCTCAGAAATGGGCACTGCAGCACTAAAGATGGGCCCTGCCATGGGGATCCTGAGGCCGGGTGCTGGGGGGGGAGCCCCTGCTGCAGGCAGAGGGAGACCCCATGCCACAGGGCCAGTACAGAACCCAGGGCGGCCACTGCCCTGTAAAGACCAACACTCAACCAAGGGGTCCCCAGATGTAGGAACCACACCAGGGACCATGGATGCCCTCCACATCAGTGCCTGTCCCTCTGGGGCCCCCCAGGGCATCTGGAACCCCACAGAGAACCCCAGAAGCCCTCAGAGCGGCCCTACAGTAGGACCTTCAAAGCGCCAGCCCTGTCCCACAGTGCCAGGCTCCCACCCCACAGCCCCCAGAACTGAGGCCACCAGGACACCTTGGACACACACCTGCTTCCAGGTGCGCTTCAGGGAAAGGAGACGCAGACCACCGGACCCTGCCTGCTTTGGGGGCCACAGGCCTGGGCCAGCAGACCCCTGACGCCTCCCACCCCAACCAGGGAGTGTCACCTGGGCTGCAGGCTGAGGCTGCTGGGCCTCCACCTCAGACCACAGCTTGGTTAGTGTCTGGGTTATCTTCACAAAGCTATTTTCTAGTGTTGGAGACTGCTATGCTGCCCAGGCTCGCCTTAAACTCCTGAGGCTCATGTGACCTCCCTGCCTCAGCCTCCTGAGTACAGGGGCCACAGGCACAGCCATGGTGCCTAGCAGCACCCATATTTGCACGTGGGGTCTCTGCAGATGTGGTTAATCTGGCTGTGGTGGGTGCCTGCTAGGTTTAGGCTGGGCCCTTGTACCCCTGAGTGCAACACAGGAGATGGGCCTGGTGGCATCTGGGTCCTGGGACAGAGTCTCTTGTGTGAGATGCTTCCTGCTCATCACTGTCACTGACAGGAGGGGACTTGAGATGCGGGCACATGTGCAACCACACACGGCCTGCACACCTGCAGACCCACCACAACACGTATGTGCCACCAAGCAAGCCACAGATGGGGCATTCAGCCAAAGCGGGCTGGGTGCAGAGGCCAAGGCAGGCAAGGGACCACCCAGGCTCAGGCAGCAGAGGAGGCACAACCCACCCAACGGGGAGGAGGAAGCTGAGTACTAGCGGTATGTCTCATACCAGCACCTGGGAGGCTGAGGCAGGAGGACCACAAGTTCAACCCAGCCTGAGCAACTCGCCAAGACTTGGCCTCTAAGTAACAAACAAGAAAAAGCTGGAGACGCAGCTCAGTGCAAAGGCCCTGTGTTCAATCCTAGTGCCACATACAGATGAACCTGGAAGACATCAAGCCATGGGAAACCAGCCAGGCACAAAGCCCACCCTGGGTTCAGCACCCGTACCCTGAAGATCTCACACAACCTGATACTGCCACGCACCCTGAGTAGCAAACACCACACTGGCGTTGGCCGGAAGGGTCCCAGTCAAAGCACGGAGCCCCTGAAACGATTCTGCCAGCTCCTCCAGGTTGCGGTGACATCCTGGGGTGACAGTGGCTTTCAGGGAGCACAGGCTGTCACAGTGACCGGTGGCCCCAGCCCGAGGGACAGGTAGAGCACCGCAGGGCAACTTTCTCCCTGGAAAGCGTGACTACTGGTGCAGGAAACTGCCCTTCGAGCCGCCTGGGCGGCTTTTGTGCTTTTCTCAGCACTGAGTGGAAGTCACACCTGTCACAGCCGCTCGCTCCGCTCGACCCAGCACAGCTGGGAGAGACCTGGGCAGACTCCCCCGCCCACACACCTCACCTGAGCCCCTGAAACTGCCTGAGCCGGCTCTGGAGCCTCAGGTGTCCATGGCTTGGGACCCCCCCACCAAGGGGCTCCTAGAGCTGCCTGTTCTGACAGTGGACAGGTTACACACTGACCAGTTCCCTGCTGGCCACGCAGCCCAGGGCTTCCTATGACCCATGGCTATTGCTTTCCAGGTTGCTTCCTGTGATGGGGACACGCTGCTAAACTGGGTTACGATAATTAACACAATCCCGCCTCTCCGTCCCAAAACTTACATAAGCCAGTGGCCCCGTTTCCCACCATTACCCCCTCTCCCCACTCTGCTCCCCAGGAGGGGCCGCCCTCTATGGCACACCACCCCCACCAGGCCTGGCCGGAGCAGGGGAGCCACAGGGTCTCCCAAATTTCACCCTCTCAGACAGGCTGGGCCTCAGAGAACAGGGTCACTGCAGCCGCCACCAGTCCAGGATCCAGAGCTGGGGTCGCCCTGAATTGGGGCACAGGTGTCCTTGTGGGAAGGGGGATGTGGTTGGGGTGCAGCTCAGCATCAAGGGAAGGCTTAGGGAGCGCAGGGCCTGGGCTCTGTCTCCAGCACTAAGGACAGAAAAGAGGAGGAGAACTGGATGCAGACAGGAAGGGGACAGAGACCACCTGGGGTCACAGGCAGAGGCTGGCGGGCATGGATGGGGCCGCCTAGTGCTCCAGGACTGTCAGAGCTGCTGTCCGAGACGGGTTCGCACAGAGCCCCTAAGGTACAGCCCTGCAGGCCCCGCACTGCAGGAAAAAGTGGACTTGGCGAGTTTCCATACTACTCCTTGCTTGGTTTTTAGCCCAAGCCCTGGCAGCCAGCTCTCCAGGGTGAGTCCACCTGCCCTCCTCAATACCCAGGGCAGGACAGCACCTTGAGGTGCCTCCTTCCACATCTGCTAACTCCATGAGGTCCAGGGATGGGCACAGGAGACCACACTGGCCCTGGTGTGTCTGCTCCACTGCAATGGTGGTGACCATGTTTGGGGACCTTCGTAGACACAACTCCCAAGCCACAACTTCCTTCCAGTACTTGGGTTGGGCATTTTTGCCCCAAACTTGCCCTGTGTGGCGATGCTAGAGGAGCAATTGAAAGGAAGCCCTGGGGCAAGGGTTGCTGTGGGAACTGGCTCTCTGCCCAACCCAACCACACCCGACCCAACCCGTGCCCTGGCAGTACTGCCTGTGCCCCTGTGCCACCCACTGGGCTCAAGCTGAACCCACTCTTCCAGCAGCTACCTGGCCCCGGGAGCGACCAAGCCCGGTGCCCAGTGCGCAGGTGATGCCCACATACTAGGCTGGTCCCTCAAACACTTGGGGCTGGTGTGCACCCACTTGCAGCCAGGGCCATCATGACCAGAGGCATGACTGTCACCCCACACCACGGGGTGAGCCCTGCCTGCTGCCCCACAGTCTCCAGAGCCTAGGTCTTCAGATGGGGACCCAGGCTCGGCCCCAAGGACCCACAGGTCCCCAGCCCCAGCGAGTCGGCAGCCCCACCCTGGAGGATCCCAGAGGCAGGCAATTTGCATAATGTCCTCTGCAAGTTAATATCGGGCTCCGATAACGATCTCGCAGCGCGCAGGGCGCTAGGGCACTGTTACAACACTAAGTAATCATATTTTAAATTATGTTTCCCTTTATAGAAAGGTGTTGCAGAAACACAGACGCGAAGCCGAAGCCGTCTGCTGCAGCCACTGCCAACCACCTGACCAGCTGCTGGCACCTCCACTGCACCGGTGGCCGGGCCACCCCGCTCTGGGCCACTGCTCAGCACAGCACACCACCCTCAGGAACCTCACAGAGCACCCACCACCCCAGGGAAGGAGGGCCAATCAGGCCTCAGCCCAGGCTCACCCACAAACCCAGCGCCCACCAGGGGCCAGGTGAGCACACAGACCCAACACAGGGGCCCCTGACAACTGGGAACCCCACAGGCCTGGCTCCCTGGCCTCCACAGGTCAGAGGCAGGTTCAGGTCTCCAGCTGCATGCACCTCACCCATCTCAAGTCTTCCTGGCTGTAGCTCCTTCCTGGAGTTCCCCTGTCTGACACAACCTGCAGCCATGAGCCTGGAGGGACCCACACCCCACCCAGGATGGGGGACCCCGGTGCCCTGGCCAGCCCTGAGAGCCAGGTCTACAGACCCGCTGTCCTATTGGCCTTTCTCTGCCTTAGGAGCCAGGGCCAACCACTCAACCTCTATTTTCTTAAGAGCTTTTTTCTTTTTTATAAAAAAAAAAAAAATCCAATTATAGCACAAATCCCTCAGCAGGGGTCAGTGTGGAATAAGAATCGCCGACGTTAATGGACAGGCAGGATGAACATGAAGGGTCCAGCAGTTGTACGATGCAGCTTTCATTAACATTTTAATTGTAATGTATCTTTTTAATCTTCTCTCACCCTAATGGCTTTATATCAAAAAAAGAAAGAAAAAACTGCTGACAACAACAAAAAGTATCAATATACAGAATCTGACCACGGATGGACGCAGGGACCAAGAGGAGCAGGGGGAGCAGAGTGCCCCCTCCCCAGCACAAGGACAGGCAGGCGCCCGGGGGCCACCCCAAAACAGGACGGGGCGGGAAGTGAGAGGGCGCAGGGAGTGGGCAGGGCCCTCTGCCAGGGCTGTGGTAGGTGGGTAAGAGGAGGTGCTGGAGGCCATGCACAAGGGCCCCTCCTGGCTGCTGGAGGCGGGGACCCCACACTCCGTGGTCTCCGGGGGCCGAGGGCTGGGATGCTGATGGCCTGGCCTGACAGCAGCCATCCAGCCGGACACCTGGGCAGGGCCAGACACATACCGGCCTCTCATTCGTACAAGTGGAGATTTACAAAGTGTCCTTGGGACTCTCCTGAGAGTCCAGGAGATTTTTATTTTCAATCAATAATCATTCCTTGAGGCCTGGCTCTGCCGGATGGGATCCAAAGCTTGGCTCCAGGTCTGGCCACCCTGCAGGCTGCCACCCATCCTCCCCGGAGGCCAGAAAGCCCACCCCTACCCCACCCTGGCCAGCCCACCCCGTGTGAAGCCAGCTGCAGGCCGCTGCTCACCCCGGTGACTATATATGGGCACTTTTAGGCCCCTCAGTCTGGGCCCAGCCCTGCTTCTCAGGCACAGGGGCAGGCACTGGGCGGGCCTGGAGCTGGCGGCCCGTCCATGGCTATGTGCCCTGCTGGATGCCAGGGCCCAAGCAGAAGGGGAACAGAGCAGCCTTCCCACCAGGGCCTGGACCACCTCTAGGGAACAGAAGGCCTCCCCTTGAAGGGTTAGGTGCTGCCATGGACTCAGGGGCTAGCACCCCAACAGCACAGTCCCGCTGGGGCCCCACTTACTACAGCCACTGCAGACGCCCCACTACAGCAGGAGAGGGGGCACTGCCAATGGTCATTCAGCCCAGGAGAACACAACCCTGCTCCCGGCAGCTTAGCCTCCAGCTCCCTTGATCACGCTGGGTGCCCACAGCAGCCTGTGAGCTAACATCTTTCAGACCAGGAGGGTGCATGCTTGGAGGTCCACACCCCACAGGAAAAGGGTAGGACATCCCCAGCCACACACAGCTCTCTATTTGTCCCTCTGCCCACAGCCTGGAGAGCCCTGCACTCAGGTGCCACCTTCAGCCCCAAACTGGTGCCTGGGGGCAGATGAAGCCACAGCTGAGATAGCTCCAAGCAACCCAGTGGCTGCAGGTGACCCAGGATCCATGGCCAGTTGCAGAGCATACTTTGCAAATGACCTCATGGAGAGCTGGCCCAGAGAGCAAGAATTTGCTAAAAAGGAAACAGAGGTCGCCTGGGTCCCTGTTCCATCCCCTGCCACCTCCCTGGGTGTCTGTCCCAGCCTCCTCTTCAGTTAAGGGGAAGGAAACCCGAAGGCTTGGGGTGTGGTGTGGTGGTACCCAGGGCAGGACTGCTCACCCAGGCAGAGCGCACAGCGCCTGGAGAGGGACCGCTGTCCCTGCATGCCTGCCCCATACCAGGAATGTGCCTTGGTGGCGCCTGGCCCCGGGCCCCACCTTCGAGACTGTGGACCTCGGAAACCCACCATGACGCCATGGTGGGACCCCAGGAAGGTCCAGGCTGGGGAGCAGAGCTGGGACGGGGACTCCAGGGAGTGCAAGACAGAAGAGCCACTGGGGTGGAAGGATGGGGATAGGGCCGTGGCTGCAGGTGGTGGCAGGGCTGGTGGGTCAGAGGCCAGGGCACACCCGGTAAGCACGACATGTTGGTGCTTCCATCTCACACATCCTGGACCCAGGACCAAGCCAGAGATGATACCCCTCCCTGTCACCTGGTCGCCAATCAGGTGTGGACCCCCAGCCCAGGCTCAGGACCATTCTCCTTCAAGGGATAATATGGGCTCCATTCCAGGCCAAGAGAACAGAGGTTTGGAGAGTTTTGTCAAAAGTCTCAAACCTCTCACCAGCATGGCGGAGCGGGGCGTCCAAAACTCGACCGATTCCCAGTCCCTGGAGGGGCAGCTAGGTCCCAGGATCCAGGGTGAGGCCTGGGCTCCATGGACGCCTCCTCCCGGCCCATGCCCAGCATGCCCAGCCCTGAGTGTGACACCCAGGCGCTCCCTGGCCCCCGAGAGGTGACAAGTGATAGCTTGTTCCACTTTCTGTGCTAATTCCACCCAGCTGGCTGCGAGGGCAGGGCAGCTGCCGGCTGTCTCGTTTCCCTCACTTGGGCTCTGGCCGCACAGCCTGGATGCAGGAGGAATGCCCTGGGGGCCCCCAGGCCATGCCGCAGGGTCTCCAGACAGCAGGGGGCCACCATCAAGGAGCAAGGTGTTCCAGGCACTCAGGAAGCCTGCCGGACACAGGTGGGGCAGTACATTGGCTACCATACCACAGCAGTGACCCCTCCTGTCCCAGGAGGCCCTGCAGAGCTCCCTGGAAACCCCACCGAGCTGAGGAGCAGAGCAAGAGTCCCCAGGAGCTCACGGGTGAGAGAGCAAGGGGAACACAGGAAGGGGACCAAGGGGTCAAGGAGGATCAGGAGGAAGGGCGGGGCCAGCCCAGGATGGCAGCCCGTGGGGTGGGAGCTAGGGTTAGGGGGCATTGCCCACCTGGCCTTAGGGCTGCTCAGCCCAGCCCCTGCCCTTCCTGGCACTGGACAACTCAGCACAGCACCCACAGCGGGGGCGCCCATGGGGCCAGCTCGGAGATGCTAACAAATGTGCAAGGCCCAGGCGGCTAGGGTGCTGGCCCAGTTCCCAGAGGGGAGCAGCTCACCCCCTTCTAGCATATTTGGCTGCAGAGGGGCTGTGGGGGTCCCGCACCCCAAGAGAGCCGGGAGGAGAAATCAGGACCCCGCGGCCCGGCCTAAGCACAGCGTCCTGGCCACCTGGAGTGCCCAGGACTTCAACTCCAGCGGAGACGCTGACGCCGCCGCCGGGCCAGCCGGGGTCCGGGGTCCTCTGGGGATTGCGGTCCCGAGAAGGGAGGGGCAGGAGGGAGGGACAGGAGCGGTGACCGCGCCCCAAGGAGGGCCCGGGCCGAGGGGAGGGGGAGAGGAGAGGGAAGGGTCCGCCGCGGGGTTGGGGATGGGGTCCCGTCCCGGGCAGGCCGCGGGCGATCTCGAGGGTCCCCCAGAAAGCGGGGTCCCCGAGACGCGCCTCCCCCCGGGCCCTGAGCCCCGATGGGTCCGGCGTCTCCGGCCCAGGACGGCCGCACCCCGCGGCGGCGGCGTCCGGTTGCGCGGGGCGGGCACTGCGGCAGGCGCGGCGGCCAAGTTGGCGGCCCGGCCCGGGAGTTGCGGAAGTGCGGCGGGGCGGTACCTGCGGCGCCGGCCGGTCCCGCGGCGCTGCGGCTCCGCTCGGCCCCGACTCCTCGACCTCGCACCGGGCACCCGCGGCGGGCGGGCGGGGCGGCGGGGCGGCGCCGCGGGCCGTTTAAAGGGACAGCACGCCCGCCGCGCGCGCGCACTCGCCACCCGGTGGCCGGGCCGGGCCGGGCCGGGCCGGGTTGGGCCTGGCGGGACTGGGCGGGGCGCGGAGTGGGCGGGGCAGGGGGCCGAATCGAGAGGGCACCCCCTCCCCGCGGGACCCGAACTGCCGGCTGCGGGCGGCTCATGTTGCCTTCAGGCCCAGTGTGATCCAGGTGCTGACAGCGCCAGGCACCGTGCACCTCCCAGGGGCTCCGGGGCCGTCATGGTGGCCAGGGCACTGGGTTCCAAATAAGCACAAAACTAAAGCCACCTGCGAGCACAGGGGCCCAAAAGTCCTACAGTTGCCCTGCCAGCCTGCAGCCCCAGGAGGGACAGGTCAGGACAGGCCACATGCCCCGGGGTCCTCTCAGGAATTGGGGTAGCAGCAGGTCAGAGGGCATGAGCAAGGTCACCTGGAGAGGGAGGTGGGGCAGGCACAGTGAGCAAGGGGGTTGGGGCAGGTGAGCAGACGCTGGACCCGGACAGTGTGCCCAAGCTCAGTCCGGGTCCCTGGTCCCTGGTGGCCCTGGCCTGAGCTCCAGCGGGCTCTGCAGCTCTGCCTCCAGAAACCCAGTGGGCAGCCTGTGCTGCAGGGGAGGTGGAGACACTGGCCTCAGGCTGAGGCCACCTGCTCCCACAGGTGGAGGAAAGCTCCGAGGGGATGGGCCAGCACAGGTGCCCTTGGGGTTCAAAGCCAGAGGGCTGTCCATGCAGCCTCCCTCTCACCTCCACTGGGCCCCTGGGAAGAGGATCTCAGCTACTCCCCTGCTTCTATCAGGAGGCCAGGCCGGGCAGATAGCTACATGGACCCAGAACCAGTGAGACTGAGCAGGGCCCAACCAACTCCTGGCACATCTGGTTGCTTTTATTTTTACATTTTGTGTGTGTGTGTCAGAAATCAAACTCACGACCTTGTGCTTGCCAGGCAGGCACTTATGCCACTGAGCCGAATCGCGGCCTGTTACTTTTATTTTCTAAATACTAAAGAAATTCTTCTTTTTCTTTTTTTTTTTTTTTTTTTTAAGACAGGGTCTAGCTATGCAGGCCTTAAGTTCTGTGTAGCCAGGCTGACCTCAAACTCACAGCGATCCTCCTGCGTCAGCCTCCCGAGGGTAGGGATACAGACGTGCACCACCACACCCAGATCTTTTCTTTTTTAATGCTGGGCCAGGATGAACCCAAGGCCTGGGGCTGGCAGATGGAGCTGCACCCCCAGCCCCAGATTCTTCCTCCACGAAGGACACTCGGAAGCTCTGAAAATGTTTCCAAAGACAACAGTTCCAGAAAGCTGTTCCCAAGGACACTCAAGCCGGGTATGCATCGGGTGTCTGTGGTCTTGGCCCTAGGTGTGAGCATTCTCAGCGCGCACGGGATCTACTGCATCCCAGGCCAGGCTCTGGGGGCTGAGCCTGGGCACAGGACCTCCTTAATCTTTGCGAGGACTTCAGGTCCTGAGCTCCTTTGTTCCTGCTTTCCAGGTGGGATGAGGTGGGGGAACTCATGAGTTTTGGAAGCAGAACGGTGAGGCTGGCTCCCTGGGCAATGAAGCAGCCACCGGGGAAGGGACTGGAACTGGCTACGGCCTTCAGGGCCCCTCTTCCACCTGCTGGACAGGGCCGAGCACCACTCCTAGGTCCCACCCTTGCCCCGCCTGCATGAGGCTGAGGGTTCTATCTTCAGCATTGCAGAAACCAGAAAAGGACAGAGCAGCCACTGAGGCTCAGGAGCCTTCCCTGGCTAACAGCCAGTCCAGCCCACCCTCCAGCCCAGGCCGGAGCCCCTTTATCCAGCCTGGAAGAGAAGAGGAGGTCACCAGGAACCCCTGCAAACAAGCAGAGGTGGGGTCCAGAGATGGGGCCTGAGTGTGGGGCTGTGGGGCTTGGTGCCCAGCGCTGGAGGAGGCTTACACCTGAGCGGAGCCCGAGCACCCCAGCATTCCTCTCTACTGCCTGAGCCAATCTCCATGGGTGCTGCCACTGCCTCCCAGTCCAGTCACTGACCCCAGTCCTGCCCCCTCCATCTGGGGGCTGCTTCTCCCCTCTGCACTGCACCTGCACCCCACGGGCTTCTGCCTGAACCCGAGGCCCTGTACTCTGCTGCACACAGTCCCATGCAGCCAGGTGACCTTGAGGCGGACCTGGGCCAGCTCCTTGGCTGCTCCCACCTCCAAAGGTGAGATTGGGGCGTCCCTGCTCCTCCTCCAGAGGGCCTCAGTTGGTTCTCTCCACAGCAGGGAAACTGTGCTCGCCCAGCCCCGCGCAGGGCCTCTGGCTCCCATCCAAGGGGTCCTTGTTGGCCCAGTAAAAACACCTACCCCACCAGATGTAGTGACTTAGGGGAACAAAACTCCCACCTACTAGATGTCTGGTACGAGTTCGTGTTCTCTAAAATCGAAGAATGAATTTTAGGAAAAACAATGGTTAAGGGCAGAATATATTTATTGGAAGAAAGAAGTCTTCTGTCTGAGAGAGAAAGAAGGACTTCTGAGTGGGCTGCCATGGACTCTGTCTTTTCCAGGGACTTTTATAGAGCAAAACCATGAGGTTAAGGGCATCCAAGGAGGGGAAAACAAGCAGGGCATGAGGTGGGACAGAACTGTTATCAACCAATAAGATTAATTGCTCAGGTAAAATTGATTAAATCAGGGGCAGATGGGGAAGCAAGTCACATAACAGGCTTAAAGGGCAGTGACTCTTCGTATAGGGGCTGGGGCGGTGCTCCTGGCTTCCTCAAGGTGACCCACACCTACTTAGAATATCAATCCCTGATGCTTATACTGAGGGTGTGGTTGCATTTGTTTTGTCTTTTATCTTGAGCTCTGGCCCCAAGCAGAGGTGCCTGTTTCCTCTAGGTTGCACTCCCCTGGCCTTCTGCACTCCCTACAATATTTCTAACTAACTCAGCTGCCTATAACAATAGTGACCCATGCTTGTGATTCCAGCTACTCTGGAGGCTGAGGTAGGAGGATTCCAAGTCTGAAGCCAGGCTGGGGTGTGTGTAACTCAGTGGTAGACACTTTGCCTGGTACATGGCCACAAGTTCCATCCCCAATAACAAAAAACAAAACAAAAAAAAACCAAACACCTGCCCATACTGGGAAGGATGGAGACATGGTTCCTGCTCCCAGGAGGCTGAGGCAGAGCTGCTGCTAAGGCCCCAGCCGCACGGCACCCCGGTCTCCTGTCCTGGGCAGCCACTCTGGGCCTGGGCTCGAGGAAGCCCTGAGACGGGCTGATGACAATGCCACACTGAAGGCTCAGGACCAGCAGGGATACGGACTCAGCTCCTTCTCTGCCTCTGCCACCCTAAGGTGACATCCACATCTCGGGACCTGCTGTCTTGCAGCGTCGGCTCTGTGGCATTGGGCACAGGGACTGGGACCTCTCCCCATCCCCCATTCCACTGGGCCCCACAAGGACAAACACCAGCTCCCCTCCAGCACTGCTACAGCCACTGGACGCCTGAGACCCTGTACTATGTCAGCCAGCGAGTGCCAGTGTCCATGTCCCTTCCTGTGGGGCCCTCTGTGCCTGAGGCCAGGCCGAGATGGTTACAGTGCCCCTCCTGCCATTTAAGCACTGGGCTTGGTGCCCACTGCTCAGCGGCTGGCCTGGTACAGGGGGAAATGGCCTTTCTGCAGTGCCTGGGGCACAGGTGGCCCCACAGAGCCAGTGAGGATGGACACATGACACCCTCCTGCCAGTGACAGACCACCTGTGTGCCACCCTGCCCTGTTCCCCCCACTTTCTGGCTGTCACCCAGGTGAATGGCTGGGAACCCCAGCCAAGCTGCCCCGCTGTCTCAGGCCCAGTCAGGAGAGTGGGCCAGTCTCGAGTGCCAAGACCCTGTGGCCCAGGTATGGCGGGGCCATGTGCTGCAGGGCAACCTGTGGCTGTGGCCAGCAGGGAGGCCATCACTGCACAGAAGGAGAAAGGAAGATGAGGACCGCCCCCCCATCTGGCCGGTCTCCTGTGGAGCCATAGCCAGAACCTGCTGCTGTCCACAGCCTGCTGCCTGGCTGGGAGCCAGCTGTACACCTGGAGGTGTGGGTGAGCGAATGCCCAGAGGGGACAGGTGTAGCCACACAGCACCTCCCTTGGACGCAGGCGCCACCTCCAGCACGGCCCTTTCGGGATGAGCAGGGCCTGGGCCTGGTGCATGACTCAGATTCGGACCCGGATGCCCAGTGCTCTGTCCTGGCGGGGAGACAGACCTGGGAGAAACTGCCAAGGCTGCCGTTGCAGCACAGGCCTGGCCTCGCAGCACTCCTGGCCGAGGCAGGAGGGTTCCAAGTTTGACCCGAGCCTGGGCAAATCAGTGCCTTAGCAAGGCTTTGTCACAGAACTTTCACAAATGATTATTTAAAAGGAGCTGGGGACGTAGCCCAGTGCCCAGGTTCAATCCCCACTACAGGAAAAATTTTAAAAACGCAGGCAGCCTGTGATGTACATGCCCAGCTCGGGCAAGGCTGGGAAAGGAGAAAACACTGGAGCCACTGCCCAACAAGGACCTGGAGGACCTGGAGAACCTGGAACCCTGTGTGGCACAGCAGCCCCTCACACAGAGCAGATTGACATGCAGCTGGAGCCCCGAGGTGGGTGTGCACCCTGGACTGGGGGGCGGGTGAGGTGCTGTACACAGCTGCCCACAGCAGGGACATCGAGTGCTTAGTGGGGTCTGGGCACTGCTCAGGGAGACCAGCCGGACATGGGACAGTGGCTGTGGATGCCGCCTACGCAAGCCCCAGAGGGTTTCCAGGGCCAGAGTGTCCGTCAGAAGGGGCACACACTCAGGCCAGGCTGGGTACTGCTACGCTGTGGGCAGTGGCTCTGTGCCACAGGACTATGTGCCTGGAGGTGGCCGCGCTGGTGCCAGGTATGTAATGTTTCACTGCCATGCGGGCCCCTGCAGCCTGGATAGAGACACAGGCACCAGCTGGGGCCCCTGGGAGGACAGCAAGCTGTGGGTCCCTGTGTATCTTTCTGGGGTCCACAGGGGTGGGGACAGCTGAGAGGGGACCTGGAGTGGGGCTGGCAGGCAGGGCTGGGGGACATTGGTGCTCTGGGTGGCAGCTGGCCAGGGGCTGGCCCTCAGAGAGGAAGGAAGAGCAGAATACTGCTGCCCAAGTCTCAAGTGTCCAGGGCCCAGCTGACAGGATGGGTGCCCATGACAGGGGCAGTCTTGATGCTGAGGTTCTGGGGGACTAGCATCACCTCGGTCACCACTGCCCCAGATCCAGCTCCCAAAGGCCCTCGGCTGGTCTGAACCTCTTGGTGCCTGGCCAAGCTACTGACCGCTTCCTTCTGGGCAATTTCCATGCCCACAACGTGCCGGTCCCACATGGATGTCCCTGCCTCAGTGGCCGGTACTCTCCCTCCCCTGTACCCTCCCTCCCTCTCCTGTACCCCCTGCACCCCGTGAACAGAGCTCTGGAAACCCCAGCCTCACAGGCCTGTGCTGACCATGGCACACAGCAGCACGCTGGAGTCTGGGAGGTGCCCTGGGCACTGTAGGCTCCCTGCTGGATATCAGCTGTGGCACTGGGCCAAGGGGCACAGGGAGGCTGCTGAAGGCCCTGCAGACCTGGCCCCAAGGAGTGCAGCCATGGGCAGGAGTTGGGCCCTGTGCTGCTCTTCTTGCTGTCACCAGCACAGGACCCAGGTCCCTGTGCACCCGTGGGTCCTGTCAGGCCCTGGTCCCGGGAGGAAGCAAGGCTATGGTTCTTGAGGGTATGGTGGGGCTAAAAAACTTCCCCAGGGCATGGCAGGATGGACAAGGGACAGTAGCCAACAGGGTGACCAGAGGCACCAGGAGAACAACACAGAGACCAGAGATAAGAGGGACAGGCCGACCTGACCTCGGAGTGCCCCTGACCCACCCCGCCCCGCCCTGCTGTGGAGGTGGTGGCACCTGCCAGGGCTCAGGAGCAGATAGCCCAGGACTGTGAGCAGGAAGACTCACCCAGGGAAAGGGGCCTGGTGTGGAGCCCGGAGCACATCTCAGGGTGCCCTGGGGCTGAGGGGTCACAGGGCTGGGGACATCACTAGGGACACAGACACCACGTCCAGGATAGTGGTGTGGGCCGGGCAGTCACCAGCACCACCTGCCTGGACTCTGGGCCAGGGCCACTGTGCTGCCATGGGAACAGAGCCCCGAGGGGAGGAACAGCTGTGTCTACCGCTCTAGGACTCCATCCTACCTGGCGCTCAAGGTGACATGTGGAAGGAACCAGCTCTCCCGCTCACCCTGCAAGCCAGGGCTCCTATGGGGTACATGAGCAGGTGCACCCCAACACAGCCCCAGAGAGGCTGGGAGGTCTTTGGATGCTTTTATACACAGCTGAAGGACAGATGGGCATCGGGGGACACTGCCGACCCTGTAAACTGCTGCACTTCCCGCCCTGGGCAGAAATGCTCCTTTTTATTGTTGATTCACTGCACAAGGACCAGGGCGGGCTGTCCACCTGGTCAGCTCCTGCCCATCTGTTCAAGCATAGGTGCCTGGTACTAGTACTGCCCAGCTGTCAAGGGGGCCCTGGGGCTCAGGGGCTAGGGGCCCGGGGGCACAGGCATGGAGCGAGGGTCCCTCACCACCCACTCTGGCTCATAGATCCCCCTAGGCAGCTAGGTCCCCCTGGCCCTCTCCTCCTGCCTCAGCTGTAACCAAAGGGTAGAGTCTGAGGTCAGCACTGGGAGCCCTGCTGCCATGGTGGTCCTTGTTCCACCCTCCGCCCCCAGGCGAGAGCTGGGTGTACACTGCCACAGGCTCAGCCAGAGCCCAGGTCTGCCATGAACAGAAGGCCACAGAGCCTGGTTCAGAGGGAGGTGGCAGCGCACACGTGAGCTGCAGCCATTGGTGGGTGCCTCACCAGGCAAGCCTGGGCCCCTTTCGCAGAAGAAACTGGGTGAGTATTTTGGTTTTCTGAGAACATCTGCAGAGCCTGTGACTTCCCTGGCTGGGAACTAGGGCAGCACTGTTTTGGTCTCTGCTCGCTTCCCCGTTCAGATCGGACACTCATCTTCTTCCTCTTTTGTCCTAAATTTCACTCTGCTGTTCAGTGCAGCTGTGCAGCAGCTGCTGAGGTCTCCTCCTCCTGAAAAGGCTGAGGGTCACCGGCTGCTGCAGTTTACTTCCTCCCAGAGAGAGCACGGAGGCTCAGCCGCGTCCTGTCCAGGTGGACACCCAGTGAGAGGGACTTTCTGGCAGTGTCCGTGGCTCGGGAACATGGGTGAGACAAGGGAAAGGACCTCGGGACGAGTGCTGGGGCCTCCTTTCCCAGAAAGGCAAGCGGCATGCCAGGCTCCGGGGCCAGCAGGGAGGCACCTTTGCACCACACTAGACGTCCTGGAGTGGAACTGCCCATGGAACATCCCACCACCAATGCCTGGGGAGGGGTGATCAGCAGCTCCGCCCTACTGGGCCTACAGCCCAGCCTGGTACCTTCCCCGAGAGCCTGGCAGTGCTGCCGGGAGGAATGGAGGTGCTGGTCCTTGGTCTCCACCAGCCCTGGGCACTGGACATGCAGGGAGCCTCTCCTCACCCCAGTCCCAGACACGCCCCGTGTCCAACTGCAGCTCTGCCTGAGCCGCGGGTGCAGGCCTGCCTCCCTTCCCTGCTGTCCACTGGGCAGGCTGGCCCCAGGCTGGCCTCACCATCATCAGCCTGGCTGCAGGCTCTGGAAGGCAATGTTGGCCCTTGCTTTTGGAGAGTGATATGGTGCCCCCAGCCCCCTTCTGGCTTGGACAACACAAAAGCAGAAACAGGACTGTGAACAGTGTGTGACCACACACACCACACGATTTGCACACACTCACACGCACACACACAGGTGCTGGGATGAGGGTCACCCTGGCCACAGCCCCCTGAGTCACACCATGAGCAGCAGCCGGTGCCGGGCCAGCTGGGGACGCACCATTGAGGGAGATAATGGTGCATGTACATTAGGACGCCCGGTGCATTAGGGAGCCGAGAGGCAGGGTTAGCGCAGCACGATTTGCAAAACACACAAATAATTCATGTTGCCATGACGTCATGGCGCTGTTGTCAGTAATGAATTCACACAACACCGGGTTTACATCACATGGCTCCCACCTGGGCCAGGAGTGGGCAGTCACTGGCACAGAGACCCCGGGGCTTGAGGGAGCCTGGCCAGGTCCCAGCAATTTCTCAAGAGAGGCATTCACTCCTGTCAGGAGAGCAGCTGGCTGCCAGAGTGGGCTGGTCAGGGAGGGTCAGAGGGTACTGAGCCCAGGGACAGAGCCCAAGGTGACATGGGCTCCCTGCAGCACTATCCACGGCCCCCAGTCACCCAGAGTCTGGCTGGCCAGGGCCCAAGTGCTGGTCTTGTTGCCAAGCCTTGAAGACCAGTCCTTGGTGCCAGACCTCAGAAGGGCAAAGGTCACCCTTCGTGGGTATCCGATGCAAAACCGGAACCGGAACCTCTTCTGAGTCCGCCAGCTGGAGCCACATTCCTGCATCCCAGACTGAGGGCCATCTGTCACTGGCATCAGTCATCTGTCTGGAGGGGGCAGACCCCCAGCTAGAGTGGCACTGATGCAGCCATGCCTGCCTTGCTGGGCTGAGTCCATCCCCTGCTGCCACAAAGCAGGTCCAGCGTCTCCCAGGGTCATGCCGGCCGGCCAGCCTGGACTTAATCAATCTGTGTATGAATATTCATATGGCATGCAGCAGGAGAGCATTCATTTCTGAGAAAGCAGGAAGAACACAGTCCTCGTTTGAGGAATGAGCGTCCATTCTCGGCTGACTCGCTGGGCTCCATGTTGGGTGCCCAGGGCAGAACCTCACCCTCTGCCTATGACAGCTTTAGCCTCCTGCTTCCTCTGCAGCAGTGCCCTGACCTTAGAGCCACCTTTGCCCGCCATCTCCTTCCTCAAGCCTCCGGCCTGCTCTTCCTCTACCTTTCCCACAGGGCTTCAGCACCCACAGGTCCCTTGGCCTTCCCACACCTTTGGAGACCCCAAGGACACTGCCTTGGCTTGTGAAGCAGCCTATGGAGCTGACCTTTCCTGTCCCAGGGCCCCACCGGTTCCCTTGCTGCATCCAGGTAGCATCAACCCTGCCCACGGCCAGACAAGGCCACATGGCCAGGCACTGGGAGATCAGCATCTCTGGCTGCCTGTGCACAGGAGTCCACAGCCCCTAACCCTGGGCCAATGGTGTGATCAGCATGGGACATGGCCAAGCTGGCCCTCACGGATGTCACTCCCCAACTCTGGTCAGGACGGCAGGTGGCCACAGCTGGTCGAGACAGAGATGGGCACACGCACAATCTCTGCCTGGCCTGGGGCTACCGGGAGACTCTAGCTGAGGTGTTGTGGGGGTGAGGTGGGCAGCCACCGGCTGTGGCTCAGGACTCAACCATGTTTGGGGGGGGCCGAGGGCAGCCAGAGCTCAGGCTGCAACAGTGGCATTGCCCACCCCATGTCCGCCTTAACCGAGGCTGCTCTCCTGCCTGCCAGGCTCGTTTGCCACCCAGCCCCAGGCGCGGTGCAGACTGCACACCTCGAGCCACACTACCCTGCAAGGCCCCGGGTGATACAGCTGCCAGCAGCCTGGGCACGCTGCCCAGCTGGGCGGGGGAGGGGCTGCCTGAGTGCTGAATCAGCTGCTCCCTCCCTGCTCTGCTCCTGCCTGCAGCGGCTGGGCAGTGAGGATGCTGCTGGGTGGGGGTGGCTCCCCCTTTTGGGAACTATGGGAGCCGAGCCAGGCTGCTGGGGATTTCTGGAAAGTGGGTCCTGCCGTGCTCTGGCTGGAAATGCTGCTTCTCCAGAATGGTGTGGGCCCAAGGTTGGGTGAGGATCCTCCCTGGGCAGGCCTGGGTGGAGAGGGACCCTTCTCGCAAAAATCCCAAAAAGGGAGAGGGGCGGGGTGCACTGGTGCTGCAGAGCCTGCAGGCCCCCCCCCACACCTTGCAAGCGCTGAGTCAGCACTAGGAGGTGCCCCGCACCCTCATGCTGCATGGCAGGGACGGGGCCTTACCAAGGTCAGGGAGCCTGGGCACCACGCCAGGCTCTGGTCGCTGGCCTCACTGGCCTTCCCAGGGGGGCTATCAGACCCCTCCCCCTGGCCTTTGCCCTGCCACCCCTTCCCCTTGGCTGCCATTGAGCAGCAAGGGCACGGCCTGTCAGAGTGCCTGTGTATGCACATGTATGTGTGCTTTGGGTCTGGCCCCTGTGGCCACCTTTCTACCTGGTGCCCAGAGCAGGTGGCAGCCTGGCATCCTTCTTGGCTTCACTCGCCCTCTGCTGACTCCAGCTTTCCCTTCACCAGTGGAGACCTGCACCCTCTTGGGGCCCTGCCAGAGGGATGCCCTGTGTGGTGGGTCGCTCCATGAAGCCAGCACCAAGTGGCCCCTCCCTGTGTGACTCTTCCATTGGCTCTGCCCTGGGACACCCCCAGGGCTCCCACTTCTCCCCAACCCTCCCCCACTGCCACCCTTCCCCACTCTCCAGGAGGCTGGCTGAGTGCCCGGCTCAGCTCCTAAACCCCCCTGCCTTACCCACCACAGCTGCCCAGCCTGTCCCCTGGGGTCCTCCTCCTTCCCTTCCCAGCATGCGCTGGGTGGCTGGCAGCCCCACTCTCCCCACTGCACTCCCTCGGCTTGGCCCTGGAAGTCGCCTGCGGCATCACTGGGCCTTTACCTACCTCTCTGGCAGCCTGGCTGGTGGGGGTGAGGTCAGCTGAGTGAACAGCCACTAGGTCAGGGTCTCTGCGTGCTGCCTCTGGGGCAGCTCCCTACAGCATGGCTGCCCAGCAGGCCTCAGCTCCTCCTGGCCTCAGCTCCTCTGAGTCCTCCAGAAGGTTCTAAGAGCCACAGGCTGGCCACCAAGTGGGCATTAGAGTGGTGTGGCCTGCTGCGGCACAGCTGTACCTGGGTCTCTGTGCCACCCAGATACCGAAGCCCCAACCACTACCTCCAGCACCACCCAAAAGAGTGCCAGACTTCAGGCAAAGAGTCCAGGCCATCTCCAAGCATCCCTGGCACAGCTCCACGTGTCATCTGGCCTTGGGAGAACAGCGCAATGACCAGAACGCACTTCCAGTTACGGTGCAGAGAGAGGCAGCCCTATAGGCCCAAGCCCTGGGGTGGCCTCCCTGCCACTGAAGGCCATATCATGCCACCCTCATCCAAACCCAGCCGCAGGAGGTGCCTTGTCTGGGACCTTGGTCCCCCTGGGTCTGGCTGGACACAGCTACATGCTCTAGGGACAGTGTGGACATGCATCAGCGCAGAGGTGGCTGGACAGGGAGCAGCGACAGCACGCCAGCCCATAGGCAGCCTGACAGCAGAGGGCCTGGGTCTACTCCTCAGCCTTGTAAACAACGCAAACAACAGAGGATGCTGCAGATCTGGGAAGATGAGGCAGGCCCCAGGGTGCTCCTGGGAGGTGGGCATCCCCTGGGGCACAGCCACCGTCACACAGGCAGGCTGCAGTCTGTACATGGGCAGGGTCACTGAGCTGCCACCTCAGGGCCTTCTTCCCCTGGCTGACAGCAGCACTTGCCAGCCTTAGTCCTGGTCCCTTCTCAGTGCCTGGCTGCCCAGAGCAGAGGCTCAGTTCCGACTCATCAGAACATCCGAAGGGCTGGGACAGAGCCCAGGGTGCAGCCCAGATCTAGTGGACTGGAGTTTGTAGCCAGCACCACACCCGCGGACCCAGAGGATAAACAGACCTATAGAGTTCAGTTTTACCCAAGACCAGCAGCAATGGCTAGGCAGCATCGTGGCACTGTGACAGATCTGCGTTTCTTCTCAGCGACTTTTTCTGGCTGAAACTATCATTTGTGTTGTGTCCCTAGAGGTCTCTGTGAAAGAGGAGACACGGGAACTGCCCTGCGCAGGAGCCAGAGGGGGAAGGAGCTGCCTCAGGAGGAGCCCGCTGTGTACACAGGTGCTGCCCTAGCTCCCAACCGCCCCTGGTTAACCGGGAACATGCCTGTGGTTCTCTTTCATCGCTAGGTGCCCCTGCTGTCCCTGACAAAAAGGTACTGAAAACAAGCTGGCAGCCATGGCCCTGGTCCCCCAGGGGCCACAGGCCCGCAGGTCTCCCCCTCCAATACTGTGATTGGCTGCTTTTAAGAAACATCCCAACTTTGTGGAGAAAAACAGGTTTCTGTAGCTTTTTTGGTTGGTGATTATACCCTTAAAGGAGTACAGATTGTAAACTGCAAGTAATCACTGGGTCAACGTATTAAAAAAATAGGTTTAATGCAGGTATTTCATCTCATAAAGAATTCAACAGGCACTCGGGACACGGGCAGCTGGGTGTGCAGCATGGCAAGGTCCTTGTCCACGTTTGAGGTGGCCCACCCCTCCCACCACTGGTGCCTGGCGCCCCTGCTGTCACCCACCTAAGGGGGCTCTCTGGTAGCTCTGAGCAACCAGTCAATTAATGCAAAACAAAGCTGCTTTGAGGGAAGAGCGGGAATTAGTGCAAAAGATTCTCTGCAGCGACAAGCGGGGGTCCACTGGGGAGCTCCTTGCCTGCCCCTCCTGGGGGAAACCAGACAGACCCTCTGCAACAGGACCTCCCACTGGGAGAAGCCAAGCGGAAAGGGAGGAGTGGTTACAGCCAGGCAGGGTTTGCCATCCTGCCTGCTCTGGAGTTTTCTAGGTTTCTCTTCGGTGGGTAAATTTGTCCTCATAGATCCCTTGCCTCTAGTCTGCCTGGCAGGGCAGGGTTAAAGGGGCCACTGCCCATGCCCTGGCGTCGAGTAACAATCTGGGGCGAAGCAAGGCTTGGCCAACTTGCCATTCTTGGGACTGACCTGGTGTTCTCACTCTGGTGTCACCACTCTGAGCTCTCCCCAACCGGTAAGCTGTGCTGGCCACCACAGCTCGGGATCCCAGTCCTTACCGGCTGGTGAGCGGGTCCCTACCCAGGATGCTCTGGCAGTGGACAGAGAACGGCAGTCCTCCCAGAAGTCCACTGCACATGTACCTGGCAGGCCCCTTTAGCGTATGCCTAGGCCTACCAGGTTGGGCCTAGTTGGACCCTTGACATCATTCAAGACAGGTGGGATCACCCTGGATCCTCAAACAGGGAGACTGGAACCACCCACCAGTGAGAAAGAGGGGGCTCCCAGGAAGCCCACATGTGCAGACTTACAGTGCAGGCCTGACTCCAGGCGAAGGTGATAGAGCTGCTTGGGTGGGGCTGGCACCTGACTCCCTCATCCCCCTGGGCTGGCCCTGCAGGTTCCTGCAGCAGCAAACTGCAGTGGCCCTGAGGCCCAGCCTGGGGTTCAGGAGCCACACGGCCCCCCAGGGAGACAGACAAAGGAGGGTGGTCTGTGCCTGGGCCAGACACCATGTGGCAGTGCAGTGTCACTAGTGGAGCCTGACCATCCCTGAGGCTGTGGCTGAGATCAGGGGTGCACAGGAAGGGGTATGCATTGAAGGGACCCCTGCAGATCTATTCCTGTACCTCTCCTTGTCCATGGTCTCAAAACACAGACTGGACAGAAGAGCCACCCTAAAGGACAACAGAACAGTGCAATGCAGAGGAGAAGAGGCCAGGGAGGCGGTGGCTGGGGGAGGGTGGACAGACAGGCGGTGTAGTCTCAGCCCTTTTTGCTCCTGGGAGGGAGTGTGTGCTGCAGACCTGCTTGCTGGATGGGGCAGACACTGACCCCAACAGAAGAGCTGCGGCTGGACAGAGCCGAATAAGCCCGGCACCGGGCCAAGGCACCTCACATGTCCACAAAGACCATGAAGCACCAGCCCAGGCCCCCAACCAGTAGCATGGTCACATGGATGCCATAGATGAGCAGCTCATTCATCAGGCGGAAGTCCACACGCCGGCGGCCCAGCAGCAGCAGCAGCACGGACAGCTTCAGCTGGAAGCGCAGCAGCACACGCACGCCCAGGTACTGCAGGCAGAAGAGCGCAGCCAGCGCACCCCAGAGCGCCGCGGTGAACAGACTGCAGCTGAAGTACAGCAGGAAGCGGATGAAGCCGTACAGCCAGCGCGTCTTCACGTACACATCAAAGTTGTTGTACTTGGTGCGTACCAGGTGGGAGGCACGCACAGGCCCGCAGGCGGCGTGCAGGCAGGTAGTGTGCGGGCCATGGAAGGAGCGCACCCGCCTCGGGATGGGCATCACCGGCATTGGACCCGGTGGCAGCAAGGGCACTAGCTCACAGTGGCTGTGCAGTGTCCTGGCGGCGATCAGCGTAGGTGTCATGGGCGCCTAGGCCTGGGAGATTGCAGCTGGGGCTTGGGGCAAGTGTCGGCCTGTGGGGAGGGGCAAGGAGAGGGCCAGGTCAGTCCCAATGCACCATGAGGGCAACCTTCCCACAGCAGGGGCCCGGGACGAGGGGTGGGAGGTGCAAACCAGGCTCGGCAGTTCCAAACCCTCCCAGGGATGCTTACAGGGGACCCCCAAGGTGAAAGCCACAAGTTTCATGGTGCTGGGGGTGAGGGCAGCTGGGACAGGGGCCCCATGGTCAGCAGCACTGACCTCCTGGGGGCAGTCAATGTCCAAACCAACTAGGTTTCAAGAAGCAGTACTGCCATTAGCAGACTCTTCCCTGCTCACCCTTGGAGTTCTGACTGTGCTCATGGCTGTCCAAGACACTCGGGTTTTATCCAGGGACAACAGTGTTTGAAGGACACCCTATAAAGAACCAGGACTGAAAGGAGTGGCAGGTGGTGGCCTGAAGCCTGGTGCTGCCATTTCCTAGGCATGACCTTGGGCGGGTTGCCTGGTCCCTCCCTGACTGCTCCTGCTCGGTACAAAACACTACACTCCCGAGTCTGCCTGCAGGGGGAACACCTGCAGGGGTGCCATGGCAAGACACAGAGTTGGGTCTCAGGGGCAGGCAGCCTGCCACAGGACCTCAGCAGAGCCTTCAGACTCAACCACTTAAGACAAAACAGCACACAGCATCTGTTTTCACCGGCGTGCCATCTACAGCTAGTCAAAGCGATGTGGAGATGGAAACAAACGAGAACGTTCAGCGTTAATGAGATAGGGACACGAAAGCTGGTAACAGCGCTGGGGGTTATGGCCCAGCGGTCTGGCCGTCAGATGGACTTTGGTCCAGCTCCCCCTCCCGGCCGAGGTCTGAGCAAATGGCGGCGCGAGGCGGCGGCGGCGTGGGCAGAGCCCACAGCGCGCATCGCGGACGCTGGGAAGCTGGGGTCGCCCGGCAGCTGGGATCGCCAGTAGGGTGCTGCTCCAGCGCGGCGACAGGTGCTCTAGAGGTCAGCGCTGGGGCCGCGTGCCCGCCCCGGCGCGCGACAGAACCCTCGGCCGCCGTTCCCGACCCCGCGTTCCTGGCCACCTGCCCCGAGCGCCTGCAGCGCCACTTCCGGGTGCCGCGCGGCCCGTTGCCCTGGAGACCGCCCCGGGCCCGCAGCCGCCCCCGCCCGCCAAACCGCCGCTCACCCGCTGCCTTCTCTGCGGCGGAGCCGGCGTCCCGGACCACGCGACAGGCCAGCAGCGCTGGGGACCGGGCTTGAGGGCGCCCCTGTCCCCTGGGGTTCCGAGAGCGGGGCGGCCGCATGCTGTTCAGGGATTGGGGCGACGGCGCGGCCCTTCACGCACCCCTGACTGGGGCGGCTTGAAGGAAAGGCTGCGCCCAGGGCAAGCTGCCGGAGGCGTTTGGCCCAGCATGGGAGCCGTAGCGCCGTCCCTCTGCGGCCACCGTAGAGCGGACTTACTCCCCCTCTGCCCCCGCTCCACCGCGGAGTCCACAGCGCTTGTCTCGGGCCCGAGCGGAACGTCCTGGAAGTTGACGCTGCTGTGGGGGCGCGCGCGTGCGCGCGCCTCGAACGTCCCGTGACGTCATCGCTCACTGACCTCGCGGGCTCAGCCTCTTGTTCTATGCGGGCGCAGGGGGGCACTAGCGCGAACCCAGGGAGCCCCGCTTCTGCGCACTCGTCGCCGAGCCCGCCCCACCTCCGCGTGCGGAAGTACTTGTGCCGGTCCATGAGCGGGCCCTAGAGTTTCTCCAGCCCCGAACGCTGGACTCTGGTCCCTGCACGCCACAGTTCTGCCACCTGGAGCTGGGGCCTTGCCAACCCCAGGAGAGGCGGGCAGGGCGGGGGAGGCTGTGCCCAGCCAGGACTCTGCGTCCTCCTCTTCGGGGTGGATGCGCACGTGTGAACGCCGCAGCAGCGAGGAGCGTCCCCCCCTCTGCGATCTCGGTCGCTGTGTCCCCGAGTCCCTCTCGTGGGGCTGAGTCAGCGGCACTCGCCGGGGTGGGGACTGTACGGAGCAGGTGGCATTTGTCGGGACTGCAAACTGACAGTCGCCTGGCGCCACCTGCAGAGACAGTCTATGCTGTGCCAAAGACTAGGGGCACTGGCTGGCGCCCTGGAGAGGCCTCTGTATGTCCGGGAGCAGAATTGCTCTAAATCTGACCCAGGGGTCCACCAAGCTGACAGCACCTTCTGCCCGGCCAGCCCAAGAACCACTGCTCACCTGGCCTTTGTCCCGTGTGGAGAGAACACAGCCCGGCCTCCGCTGTGAGCAGCTTTGCACCCACCCCATCCACCTACCCGCGTTGTCTAGGGAGTGCAGGACTGACTGCCGGGTCCGGTCAAGGCTTTTTCTTTCTTCTATGCTAGGTGACAGACACACTGCCACTGAGCTGCATCCAAGCCCCCCACGGTCATTTGTGAACTGACTTGTCCTTGGGGAACCCAAGTGTGACTTTAGACTCAGGGACACCCCCACTGTACCCCACCCCCGACTATGGCTGTCTCAGGGCCTGTGATGAGCCAGCAAGTGGGACAAGGCACAGGGAGCCCAGTCCTGGGCCTTTGTGTGCGATCACTGTGCCTCTCCTCCCTGCCAAGGGAGAGACCAGCCCACGGCCCTCCTCCTGCTCTCATCACCTTTGTGGCTGCTGGAGCCACAGAATGAGGCCTGAGAGATGCCACCATGCTGTTTCTCAGGGCAGTACCCACGTTGGCCTTCTGGACATTGCCTCTTGGTGCCCAGTGCCATACAGTGTATAGGAAACTTCAAGGGCAGCCACATGCAGACTCCTGTGGACACTCTCCCAGCCAGGAAGTAAAGAAGCCTTGAATTGAAGGGTGCCTCCCGGGCAGGAAAGGAGAGAGAACCCCTGTGGGGGCCTGAGGATATGCTGCCATTTGTGCCCCCATGTGTGGGCATCTGTAGAATAGTTTGGATGGGAAGAGAAATGATTTTTAATCTCCAGTCTTGACTCTGATTGTACAATGAACGAAGCCAGAGCCTCTGGCAGCTGGTGTGTGTGCCACCTCCCTGCCCAGCAGGTACCAGTAGTGGTCGGGTACACTGCAGGCCCGTGCACACTGCCATGATGGCTGATTCCCTGTGCCCCTTGGTGACAGAACCCCAGCCTGCAGGCATGGCAGCATGGCCTGCTGTGAGATCCTGGGTCTCCAGTCCCCACAGAGAGTCTTCCTAACCCCAGGGAGGTGCCCTTCTGTATGTCCCAGGCCAGGCCTGGAGTTCACTAGTGGACATCACAGGTGGCATTGTGGAGAGCAGCTGAGAGTGGGTGCTCAGATCCAGAGGCCTGCACTCCTGGCTATGGGCAGAGTCTCAGTCCATCAGGCCATTTCTCTTCTGCAAGGCAGGGTCAGGATGCACAGGCCTGGGGGAGGGGCTGCAGAACTCACATGGATGGTACAGGAGAAGCTGGGGGAGGTGTAGAACTGCCCAGGTGGCCTCCCACTGTGCCTGCTCCAGGATGTCCCTTGCATACTGCCCAGGGTCAACCTGTGTGGTAGAGAAACAGAATGACCTCATGCTAGGTCATAAAACACCTTGTGGCTTCTGCCTCCTACGTCTGGGCTCTGTTACAGATGTCAAGTAAGCCCATGATGGCTGCCACGTTGGGAGGACATGCAGGGGGCCCAAGGAGTGATGAGCCGAATGGGAAGTGGGGTCCCTAGTCCCATCCAGGTCTTCACAGGACCACTGCTCAGAACAGACGCAGACCAGATGCCTAGTGGCTGCAGCTCCTGACCCAGAACCAGAATGCAAAAGGGCTTATGGCCTGAGTTGTGTTCCCAAGTTCATGTGAGGACTCTCCACCCCCTAGGACCTCAGTGGTGACTGGGATTGGAGAAGAGTCTTTAAATTTTAATGTAGCTGGGCTGGGGATTTAGCTTAGTGGCATAAGAGCCTGCCCTGGCAAGTGCAAAGTCGTAAGTTCGATCCCCAGTACCAAAAAAAGAAAAATTTTAATGTAGCTGGGGATTTAGCTCAGAAGCATAAGCCCCTGTCTGGCAAGCTCCAGGTTGTGAGTTTGATCCTGGGTACAAAAAAAAAAAAAAAAAGTAAAATGGAGTAACTGGAATGGGCCTGAACCCAGCACAGCTGGACATTAGGACACAGGCACAGGGGATGGCCATGTGAGGACTTGGGAAGGATGGTATCTCCCAGCTGAGGAGAGGCTTGGGAGGAGCTGACCCTGCATTCCCTGACCTCAGCCTGAGACCTCCAGGACTGAGAGGAAGTGACCACAACCCCATTGCATGTGGCACCCTGCTGTAGCCATCCAAGCAGGTTGATGCCGGTGCAGTTGCTGCCTTCTGGGGTGGTGAAATTCACTGAGCAGGTGATCACACGTGTGTGGGGCAGTCCTTGGGGTGTGGTGTATGCTGGTACCCAGGAGGACCAGTCTCCACAGCCTGTGCTGCTCCTGTCCCCCTGCAGGGGCTCAGAGTGGGCAGTCACTGGCTCAAGGTCAATGTCATCCCGGTTGTAAGGGGCTGGGACCTGGAGCAGGGTCCTCTGTGCCTTGCCAGCCTGAACACAAGCCAGGGAGATGGGCACCATCCAGCCCTGCCTCTCCCCCCATGTCCTCTCCGGCCCACGCTCACTCTCCCTGTCTTTCTGCTGCTCCATCACTCCTGGGCTGCTCTTTCCTTGTCCCTGTCTCTGCTCTGAAGCTCCCAGGGCAGAGCTGCCGCTGTTTTCTGCCATGCCAGCACCCACTGGGTGGTGGTTACATTGCTGCCTCCTGCTGAGTGCTCCTCTGGTGGCCCAAGGGCTTTGGAGCTTCCAGCCTCAGCCTGGGGCAGACTCAGCCCACAGGAGGGACAGGCATCAGGGACCCACCGGGGGCACAGTCCCTACCTCCTCTCCCAGCAGCAAGAGGCAGCGCTCAGGTTGGGATCAGGGACTACACCTCCCCAGGCTCGGGTGCGGCTTGGCAGTGAGCACCTGCCGAGCCTGCTCACAGCCCTGGAGACTGACATGACAGCCTGTGTGTGCTGCCGCAGAAGCTGCCATGGATGAATGCCTTGTCGCAAATCGAAAGTTCCCACTGCCACCAGGGTGGGCCACACACTAGGCTGGTAGCCAGAGACCCGGGAAGGAGTGGCCACTTGCCCATATTGGTGGCAGCCACAGTCCTTCAGGGCAGCAGGCTCTAGGTGCTCAGTGGCCCCACCCTCCTGAAACCCGGACCCAGACCATGCAGGGCACCTGCAGGCTGTGTCCAAGGTCAGGGCTCATCCCAGGGTGGCCCCAGCCCAGGCCTGGGTGGCCTTCTCTCCAGACCAATCTCACAAAGAGTCTCCTGTGTTGATGGAACAGTGTGGTGCTGACGGCGGCGAGGATTTGTAGCCAGCCAAGTGTCACCCTGAACGCAGGCGATTTCCAGGGCTCCCAGGGAAGCAGGGGGCGGTGATGCTTTATGGCAGACTTGGAAGATAAACACATGCATTCATATGTCACTTGTTGCCATATAAATGCTCACTTGTAGTTCTTTCAAAACTTTTAATGAATTGCATGCATTCTGGGAGATTTATAGGGTGCCCGGGACGGCTCAAAATGTTACTTCCAACATATTTGTCACTTTAGCAACTGCACCCAAAAAACCTGGGAGACACTGCACTAGAAAATCAATCATAGACGGACGCATCTTCAGAGAGGGTTATTTTGGTCGCTGATGGTTGATGGCCCCCCCAGTGCAGGATTTAAAGTTAAATTATGCAAAATCAAAAACACACCTTATAATACTTAATCAGACATGCATAAAACTGTCAAGTCTAAATAAATTCTCTCAATTAACTCGCTTGAGATTGTGATTGCATTTGCTAATTCAATCAGCCCTAGAGTAATCTGGAGGTGGGGTTGATGAATTCCTTAGAATGTGAGCCCCAGTGGGGCTGGGCCAGGTCCCCAGGCAAGGGCAGCAGTCTGTGGACATTGGAGCCTCAGAAAACTGTGCTCTTTTCTTTCCTTTTTTCTGTTTCTGTTTTTGTTTTCCCTTTTGCAGTGCTGGGGCTGGAACCTGTGCCTCAGATAGGCAAGCACTGTGGCCCCAAGACTCACCTTTTTCCACTTGGGAATTGGTTCCATCTCTGCCTCATGGAGACAGAAGTTCTGGCCAGACCCACGCCCACTTCCCTCCAGCACTGACCCCGGATGGACACAGAGAGCCACTGGCAGCAGGTGCAGTGTACGGTGCTTGGTCCCAGGGGATCCTCCCTCCTGGCCTTTTCCAGGGACGGCCAGTGGGAAACAGCCCGGAAGGGCTCTGCTGCCCCCATCCCTGTCTTCCTCCCCGTGCTGCTGG